AACTGTTCACAATAGTCCCATAGATCCAGGAAGAAAAATTACCTGTGCAAGGTCAGACAGCCATAAGAGGGAGTGGGAACAGGACCGTAGGTTAGTGGTGGAGGACACTCGTGATTCTTTTTGGCTGACAGTAAACAACTCATCTTCCATCTCTGGAGAATTTCTCACTATATAAATCTTGGTGGTAGACAAATCCACTTTTTTTTTTTTTTAGTTATCAATTCTAAAAACGCAACCAATGGGCCCCAGTGGGTTCCTGATTCAACTGTTGGTGATGCAAAAGCAGGAAGGACATAGGCAAAATCCATTCTGAAGAGGAGCTGGCCGTGGCAGCAGCGGCACCTAGGTTCAGGGGCGGTAGCCAGCATCAGTGAGAGGTGCAGTGAGAGGCAGAAGCAGCAGGAGTTGGGCCCAGGGCACTGACAATGACACTCTCATAGGACAAGCTCTGATTCTGCAGCTTAGGGCATTGACCCTAGCTATGGCACCTAAGCTCAGCTGGTTTCCCAGACTTGGATGAAAGTTTCTACTACACTGAAATTAAGAACCACAACACTAGAACTGCACCTCGAAAAATGTGAAGATCCATCACTTAGTTCTGAACCTTGGTAGCAGAGTCTGGGTTAAAAACCAGAAGGTGCAAATGGTCAAATGGTCTGGGTGAGACAGGGTTGCTTCTGGACTGTTCTCCCGGAAGGCCCAGGAAGTACAACACCACAACACAACCTGTGGGCATTCTTCTCTACATCTAGCATCATGGTCACCATGAACTTAAAGGAAAAGCAAACCACACCTCAAAGCTAACTCACTAGAAAATAAAAATTTATGTAAACACCATATTGTTTTCCTTGTTACTTTTTTGTGTCAGGGGAGTGAGGAGATAGATACTGGAAATTGAGCCCTTCTGCATCAGGGTTTCACTAAGTTGTACAGGGTGGCCTTGAACTTGTGATCGTCCTGCCTCAGTCTCTGAATAGCTGGGATTCAAGGAATGCACACCAGACTCTATAGATTTTTTTTTCAAAATATTATGTGCATTTTTAACCTTTATTTTATTTATTTATTTTAATGTGGTGCTGAGGATTGAATCCCATGCTAGGCAAGCACTCTGCCACTGAGCTATGACCCCAGCCCTCTATTGCACTTTTTATTGTAATTTTTTTTATACTTTCATTTCTTCTTTCCTTCCTTTCTTTTATAGCATCTTAGTCTTTTCATGAATGTTATGTTATTCAAGATTATTTGGAATATAAATTGTAGAGCAAGATACCTGGATTCAAACCATGGCCCTCCTTCCAACTAGCTTGTTCAAACTCAGAATCTCATTATTCCCCAATTTCCTCATGTATCAAATGGAAACAATAATGAACAATACATTTTAAGGTTATAGTAAGCATTACATTAGCTATAAAATCTTATCATGCCTAGCAAATAAGTACTATAGTTAACTTTCTGAATATCATAGTATATTTAATTGCAATTTTCCTCTGCTCTTTACATTGTTTTTGCCTCTTGATTTTTTTTCTGCTTATTTTTATCTCCATTTTTCACGTAAGAAAACTTCTTGGTATTTAGTTATTGTCTTATCATGTTTTTTGTTGCTGTAACAAAATACCTGTGACAGGATACTTTATTAAGAAGTTTATTTTAACTCCCAGTTCTAGAGGTTAAAGAGCATGGTGAGCTCTGGTGAGGACCTCTTGAAGGATGGTATCAAGGTGGCAGCACATCAGGTGGGACAGAAAGAGAAATAACATGGAAGCCCAGGTAACAAGAGACCATTGAGTTTTATAAAAACTACTGTTTAACTAATCTACTCCTAGCAGACCTGATTCGCTTCTAAGAGACACCACTAATCCATTCATGAGGGTGGAGCCCCAGTGATCCCTATGCCCCACTTAAAGATTCTCCACCTCAACACTACCACCCTAGGGACCACTTTCAGCACATGAACCTGCAGAGGACAAACCACATCCAAACCCTAACTACCTGCTATCTAGGGACTGGCACTAAGGTGCTGAATTAATGTTCTACGTATGGAGGCAAAGTTTGTCAACTGGTGTGACCTAACAAGAAAGAGTTCCACTTCCCTCACCGTGGTAGAATTGGATGTTCTGTGAAAGCAGGGTTCTATTGTTAGTTATTTGATGTAAACTAAACCTCTCTGAGCCACTATTTTCTCATCTGAAAAATTGGGTAAAACATTATCTGTGATAAGAATCCACATAACACACCTAAATTTACATAACATACCTACAGCACATGGCCATAGTGCTTAACATTGAGCAGATGCTCAATCAGCTGTTAGCAATATTATCAACTCTAGAGAAAATAGGGCAGCTGCTTCATGATTGTTTGTAGTTGCCACTGGACCATGCTATAAATAGAGGCAAAGCATGGTACTTGTTGTGAGGCTAGTTATTATGATACAAGTTAGCAAAGCAAGGAGAGGGCTCAATAGTCCTTGACATTCAACTTGTACAAAGCCCAAGAACATGGGTTTCGGTCTTCGTCTTGTGAGCAGAAAGTGGGTAGTGACACTGCTTCACCAAGTAGCTCTGTAGAACCACACCATTCATGTGGCTGCTCCTTGTCTATGTCTGCTAAATTTGTTATAGTAAAGACATTGGCAGAGCTTCAACAGTGCGTCCGTCTTCCCTTAAGGTCCAGACATTCTTTCCAGACAGTAGCAGGCTGCTGGATTGTTTCCTGGACATGTACTTGTTTATGAGCAGTACTGGGAATTGAACCAGGCACACTCTACCACTGAGCTACACCCCTAGCCCTCATATTTTTTGTTTTGAGACATGATTTAAGTTGCCAAGGCTGGCCTTGAACTTGTGATCCTTCTACCTCAGTCTCCTGAGTCACTGGGACTACAGGCAAGTGCCACTGCACCTAGCTACATTTAAAATAATATGTGCCATTATATATATTTAAATCAAACAGTACAAAAGGGTGCAAGTGAGCCGGGTGCACACCTGTATAACCAGCAGCTTGGGAGGCTGAGGCAGGAAGATTGCGAGTTCAAAGCCAGCCTCAGTGAAAGTGAGATGCTAAGCAACTGTCTCTAAATAAAATACAAAATAGGGCTGGGGATGTGACTCAGTGGTCGAGTGCCCCTGAGTTCAATACACACACACACACACACACACACACACACAAAGGATGTAAGTGGAAAAGTCAGCATTCCTGTCACCACCAAATCTCCAGGCAGATTTCCCAGAGATAATCACTGTATTTCTTGCAGATATTTTTATGCACACACAAGGACTTATGCATATTTTTCACAGATGGCAATCATAAAAAACTGTTCTGAATCTTGCTTTTCTTTTCTCCCCAGTTTATCCTAAATAGCTTTCCAAATCAGGATATGTAGATTTACCTCCTTATTTTTAACTACTATATTCTTAAGGTACAGTAACAAACAAGCCCCCAGATCTCAATGACTTAAGTTTCCTTCTCATTTACCTAAATCCAATTAGTGACTGAGTGAAGCGGGGCGGGGGAAGGGAGGTGTTCTGCACCTTGCTCTTATTCAGGAATCCAGGATGACCTGAGGCCCTGCCAAATTCAACACATGCTTGGTGGCTTCTGAAGTCACCCCAGGTATCAATATCCAGCCAAAAAGTGGGGAAAGAGTGTGGAGGAGGACAAGACTTTTTTTCACAATGAGCCGTGTCTAGAGGTGACATCAAACATTTCTGCCCACATTTCTACTGGTCAGAATTTGAAAATCCCATTCTAGACTAGCACTAAGAAATGTTCTGACTGATCACTGCTTCCCTACAACAGGGCACTACATGAAATAGGAATTTAAACATATGTGACACAGTTGCACTATACGAATGAATCCTCAATTTATTTAAGCTCTAGAAAGCAAGTGTTCTCCACCCAAACCCCTGCCTTCTGCTTTTCTACTTGTCTTTTCTCAAAAGAAAACTGGGTTTTGTTTTGTTTTACAGTGTTGGGGATTGAATCCAGGGCCTTGCTCACACTAGGGAAACACTCTCCACAAAGTGACATCCTCAGCCCAAAGGCAAGTTTTAAGTGTGTGAAGATATTACCTGGTGAATGAAGAAATAAGAAAATGAGAAAAGAAATAAGAAAAGAACACCAGTAGCCACTGCTTTTTTTTTTAGTTGTAGATGGACACAATACCTTTATTTATCAAACTCAGTGCCTCACACATGCCAGGTATGCAAATGCTCTACCACAATCCCAACCCCTCTCTGCTTCTTGGGTATGTACCCTGATTCAGGTTTGGTGGGGATAAGAAGAATATCAATTAAAAAAACCTTTAAAGCATACATCCTGGGGCTGAGGATGTGGCTCAAGCAGTGGCGCACTCGCCTGGCATGCGTGCGGCCCAGATTAGATCCTCAGCACCACGTACAAACAGGGGTGTTGTGGCTGCCGAAAAATATTAAAAAATTCTCTCTCTGTATCTGTCTCTCTCTTAAAAAAAAAAAAAAAAGCATACATCCTTTGACCCAATATCATCTTTTTAAAAATATTTTTTAGTTGAGTTGGATACCTTTATTTTGTTTATTTTTATGTGGTGCTGAAGATCGAACCCAGGGCCTCACATATGCTAGGCGAGCACTCTATCGCTGAGCCAGATGTTTATATTTATACCTGCAGAGTAGTAATGTGGGTGTCTCCCCCACCCATCTACCCCCCTTTTTTTTGCCCCTTAATGTAATCTCTCAGTATTTTAGCATTACAAAAAAACAGCAGTTCTTTTCAGCTTTAAACGGGTTGCAGTTTAAGTGATTAAAGGCAAGTGTGTCAGACACGGCCTCCCAGACAGTCTGTTAGGTCTATCACCCAACACTCAGGTTGCTATCAGGAGCACTTTTCTCTGTCAAAGTGACTGGCTTTTGTCATGCAATCCTCACTAATAAAGGGAAGGCAGGACGGCCCCAGAGCAGTCAGTAGAACAAACTGCCTTGTCAGGTGAGTCTGTGGGTAGAAGTTAGCCATGCGTCTGGCTCTACATGGGGAACACCATCAAGGCCCTTGTGGCCTTCATCCCTGGTGACTGTTGCCAAAACTATGTGGTTGGAGACCTCCAGGAGATGCCGCTGGACAAGATGGTGGATCTGAGTGGGAGCCAGCTACGCCGCTTCCCTGTGCATGTGTGCTCCTTCACGGACCTGGTCAAGCTCTACCTCAGTGACAACCACCTCAATAGCCTGCCTCCAGAGCTGGAGCAGCTGCAGAACCTGCAGATCTTAGCCTTGGATTTCAACAACTTCAAGGCTTTGCCTCAAGTGGTATGTACCTTAAAACAGCTCTGCATCCTCTACCTGGGCAACAACAAACTCTGCAACCTCCCTAATGAGCTGAGGCTGCTCCAGAACCTCCGGACCCTTTGGATTGAAGCTAACTGCCTCACCCAGCTGCCAGACGTGGTCTGTGAGCTGAGTCTCCTTAAGACTTTGCATGCAGGCTCCAATGCCCTGCGTCTCCTACCCGGCCAGCTCCAGCGCCTCAGCGAGCTAAGGACCATCTGGCTCTCAGGAAACCTGTTGACCGAATTCCCCACTGTGCTGCTTCATATGCCTTTACTGGAGGTAATTGATGTGGACCGGAACAGCATCCGTTACTTTCCCAGTCTGGCCCACTTGTCAGGTCTGAAGCTGGTTATCTATGACCATAATCCTTGCAGAAATGCGCCCAAGGTGGGGAAGGGTGTGCGCCGTGTTGGAAGATGGGCAGAGGAGACACCAGAGCCTGACCCCAGAAAAGCCAGGCGCTATGCATTGGCCAAGGAAGAAAGCCAGGAGCCACTGGCCCCTGCCCTATGTCCTTCTCTTTCTCCCAATTCCTAAGGAGCTGCAGTCCATCAATGTCAAGGACCCAACTGCATGTTCTCAAGATTTCTTCATTACAGTGGGATTATTCTGTGTCATTTGAGGGGTTGATGTAAAGCAATAAAGGAACACTAAGAAGTTTCTGACCAACAGCATCTCTTCCAAAGAAAAACTGTGTGCTATCAGTTTCCTTGGAAACCCAGAGTGCTCATAACTTCTTTGCAAGAAAAAAAGCTTCTCCAAGCAGTTATTTTGAGTAAGAAAGGCTCACATTTGCCTCTTTCACACTCCAAAAGTGACTGATGAGGCTCATGAAATCCTCAAATAAGGTATTTGTTAAAGAACCCACTAACTGTTCAGATGATCTAACCCTGGCAGGACATATTTCTTTACTATGAATAACAATGAACTGTAACAAGGTATTGTTTCTAATTCAGGCCACCAAAAAAGACATTTTTATCTAGCAGATTCACACACAAAAAAGTTGTTTATTGTTACAGAGGCTCAAAATAAAACATTTCCCCCACCATTTTAGCACCTGCTGAAGATCTCAGATGGAGAATTTCTCTTGGGGTTCGGGTTCGTTCAGATGTTACTTTAAACTTAATAGTGTTTCATGCCGATTTCTTATTTTCCCCAAAGGTTTAACTCAAGGTCTACTACCATCTGTTTAGGGAGCTTAGACATCACCTACAAAATAGAACCTCTTTCCTTTGCCATGCAGTCTCACTTAAGTCACACCTTGGGTTGTTGTTGGTTTTTTTTTTTTTTTTCTTTTTGGTACCGAGGATTGAACTTGGGGGTGCTGGACAACTGAGCCACATCCCCAGCCCTATTTTGTATTTTATTTTGAGACAGGGTCAGTGAGTTGCTTAGTGCCTTCGGTTGCTGAGGCTGGTTTTGAACTTGTGATCCTAGTGCCTCAGCCTCCTGAGCCCTTGGTATTATACACATGCACCACAGTGCCCGGCACACCTTTTTGCCCACTACTTCCCTCCCCACCACCAGCAAAGCCCTTCTGCTTATTTACACTAAGAAACTGAGCTGAATGGAATCCCCCATCACTGGAGAAAAAGCACATCTTCAGAATCATTAAAGGCAATAGGTGAGAAACCTGGCATTTGAACTAAGTACTTTGAAATTTGAATTGCAGACTGTAGAATATGTTGGAAGTTTGCCTCTTTTTAAAAAGTTTTAGATGTTGGTGGACCTTTATTTTATTCATTTATTTATATGCAGTGCTGAAAATTGAACACAGTGCCTCTCACATGCTAGGCAAGTGCTCTACCGCTGAGCCACAACTCCAGCCCTGAAGTCTGCCTCTTTATCCTCAGTGTATCTGCTTTAGTTCCAGTTTAATTTTTGTAGATAGTTTTTCAACATTGTACAAACCTAGGTATTTTGGCCATTATTTTGTTAAATATCTCAACTGTGACCTTCTCATGAATATACAAACTTAAAGAAATTGCTGCCAGTGGGTGATTTAATAAACTTTTCAGCAATCTAAGATGTCAATTATCTAAACTGAAGCACAATGTATTGAGTGTTTAAGGAAAAAAAAAAAGTACTTTTTCCCATAAAAGCACCTTAACCCAGTAAAGGTTAGTTCTAAAATGAAATAAGATTCACATTTGCCAGAAATATTTCTTGTTACTACAGAGTTAAGTACCGTGTCACCACCTCCCATCTGTAGACCATTTGCAACCCACTGATCAGTCATCCAAGGAACCCTTTCAATCATTAAATTTGTACTATATACAAGTTTTTAGTAATGAGTCCAGATTTCTATTAAAACAGAATTTCTCTATTTTCTTATTCCTAATAATTAAAACCAAATGATGTTAAAAACGTTTGCCCAACAGAATTTACCTTCTAAACTTTGTACCAGTTTATGGATTAGTTTTGTTTTTGTTTTTGTTTTTTGAGAGGGAGGGGGGATAACAGGGATTGAACCCAGGGGCACTTAATCACTGAGCCACATCCCCAGTTCTATTTTATTTTGAGACAGGGTCTTGCTAAGTTGCTGAGGCTGGCATCAAACTTGAGAACCTCCTGCCTCAGTCTCCTGAGCAGATGGGATACAGGCATTCCCCAACACACCTAGTGCTGACTTTGTTTTGAATTGTCTTTCTCCTCCCCAGTTTAATGGGCCCACATTTTCCAGTGTAAGCTGCAGGCTACACACTATAAAACTGAGTGAAGTTATTATCCATATAAAGTTCTCACTGAATGAACTTACTATTCTGAGTCAAAATGTTAAAATTATAAACATTTTGGCCTATGGTCAAGCTGTTTTGTTGTTCTAAAACAATATACAACGAATAAATATTTATCAAACTAATAATTGTGATTTTGCTGTCCAAAAATGTTTTTAGTGTAGATTTTTCAATTTTATAAAGCATGTAACTGTGTGTATAAATATAAATATATATAAATACACATACATACTTTTTTTTTGTTTGGGGGCAGGGCTACTAGATGTTAAACCAGTAAAGATTAGTTCTAAAATAAGAAAGGCTCACATTTGCCAGAAATATTTCTTGTACCACTGAGCTACACTGCCAGTCCTTTTTGAGACAGGGTCTCACTAAATTGCCCAGGGTGGCTTCCAACTTGTGATCCTCCTGCCTCAACCTCCAGATTACAAGCGTGCACCACGATGCCCATCTGCCTACTTGTGTTTCTACAACCCTGCTATTTTTGAGATGTTGACATCATTAGATAGTAAAGTAATGGAAAAATACTACAGCAACAAATACAACTTTTTTTACTCCTTAGTATTCATGTTATTATTAAAATGAAAATTTCACCGGGCACAGTGGCACATGCCTGTAATCCCAAGGGTTTGGGAGGCTGAGGCAGGAGGATCTTGAATTCAAAACCAGCCTCACCAACGGTGAGGTACTAAGAAACTCAGTGAGACACTGTGTCTAAATAAAGTACAAAATATGGCTGGGGATGTGACTCAGTGGTTGAGTGCCAGAGTTCAATCTCTGGTACCCACCCACCGCCAGGAAAGAAAAGACTTTTTTTTAGAACTATATTCTCCCCAGTGCTGGGGACTGAACCGGAGTCTCACACATGCCATGCAAATGTTCTGCCACTGAGCTACACCTTAGCTTTCTTTTAAAACTTGATAATTGGATTTTAGCTTCTGTAAGAGAGATATCAACTAACCTTTAACATAAATCCCACAGAAATGAATCAGCAACCAAACTTCCTTTTTTATTTTATACTGTAATGCAAGCAACATCACTATTTGTAATTTTATGCTTAAAAAGTCAACTGAACTCAACCTTAACAAAAAGCACACGAGTGATCCAGAAACAGTATAGCATCATAGCTGTGAGCATGGTCCTTCATACCATCTGGGATCAAATCCAGGCTCTGCCCTTACTGGTCAGTTACCACCTTTGTCCCATTTCCTTATCAGAAAAACAGTTTCTATCAAATAGGGCATTGTAAGGATTAAACCAATTACTGTGTATAAAATGAACAGAACAGTGCTTGGCATGTGACAGTAAATGTTTACATAACATATTCTTTTTCTAAGCACAACACTTAAATTTACCCTAAAATCAATATAAATCCTTGCTTAAAGGAAAAAGTATAAACTGCTATAGACCACTCCCTCACCATCAAAACATTTTTCAACTATAATATCTATTGTACTTAATGTAAAAAATATAACCACAACATTGTGTCAAATTCTCCTGATTTACCTGTATAGAACACACCTAGTTCTTAAGGAGTTCATTTTTAAATTTGAAGTGAATATTCTCTGCCCTTTCCATTATTCTAGAAATCAAAAATCATCAAAGCATTTAAAAATTGCTATTAAGTTTCAAAGCCAGGCACAATGGCAAACACCTACAGTCCCAGCTATTTGAGAGGCAGAGGCAGTTCAAAGACAATCTCAGCGACTCATCATGAAACTCATCAACCTGGCAAGACCTCATCTGAAAATAAAAAAGAACTAGGAACTGGGGATGCAGCTTAGTGGTAAAACACTCCTGGATTCAATCTCGGGTTTTGTCTTTTTAGTTTTTGTGGTACTGAGGAATCAAACCCAAGGCCTCATACACACTAGGTTAATCATTAAGTGGATCAACTCTATACTGAAAATGCAATCATTCACTTCCATTAAGCATATTTCAAATAGGGTACACAAAGAGCATAAGACATAAGAACTAAGTAATTGTTCAAAATTTTAATGCACGCTATGAGAAATGAACTTTTAAATCAACTGAATTGTATGGAAATGAAACAGCAAATAAATTAGACCCACGTTAAAACAGAAGGTCAGCTAATGTCCAAACTTAAGGATATAATGGGCACAGCCAGCCATCGATTCCACAGGTTTCTTCTAAAGGTTGAAATCTTTTGAATAGAACTTTGTTATGAACTGGTCCAGAGATCAACAGCATTTGGGAATGCTTAACAGGGATGATGATCAGGGACACGTTTCCTATAAGGAAAAACCATACAATTAAGAAAAATGTCAAAGGTGAAAAGCATGATGTTAACCAAAGTTTTATACTACATACAGACAACCAGAATTCTAATTTTATTAAAATCATTAGAACTCAAATTTCCTACAAAGGATGTTTCTACCTCTGACTAACACTCTTCAAGTAGCATGTTATTAGAGGCCATTAGAAAATCTGTGGAACGCAAAGGCCTGTGGGATATTTGCTATTCTCAACTTCTCATCCAAACACCCTACCTAAGATATACACTCCACACTCTGTCATGTATACCTAAAAAAACAAAACAAAAACAAAAAAAGAACATTCGAGAAAAAAGGGTTAATCCACGTTTTTTACTAATACATGTTAGGAAATTTTACTGTATTAGATACAATTACTTTTTTTGTGTTTTTAATAAGGTTGATGGACCTTTATTTTATTTATTTGTATGTGGTGCTGAGAATCGAATCCAGTGCCTCACACATGCTAGGCAAGTGTTCTACCACTAAGCTACAGCCCTAGCCCTAGACACAATTACTTTAACCAGAAGTCCAAAAAATGGCAGGACACTGAAGATTCTATTCTAGATGAATCTAGAATCATAACAAAAATATCCCTCACAACTTTTATTCTCTAATGACCACACAGTGAGGACATATAAGGATCGTTTGAGGAGAAAAGATGGTAAGGATACAGGGAAATTTTTAACTTCGTGATTCAGAAACACTCTTTCTAAAGGCACAAAAAACAGTAAAGAAAAGTAAAAGAACAGACTCAAAGAACATAGTATTAAATTGGGTCATACAGAAATAAACACCTTCCAACTCAGTAGTTTATGGGCAAACTAGGTTCCTAACCATGTCAAAAAAATTTATTAACCAGTTTTATCACTGGGCACTAATCTGAAAAGCACATTCTCTGTTGGTTAAGAAAAGAATATGGCCAGGCGCAGTGGCATGCACCAGTAATCCCGTTGGCTTGGGTGGCTGAGGCAAGAGGATCTTGAGTTCAAAGCCAGCCTCAGCAAAATTGAGGTGCTAGGCAACTCAGTGAGACCCTGTCTCTAAATAAAATACAAAATAAGGCTGGGGATGTAGCTCAGTGGTGGAGCGCCCTGGTACCAAAAAAAAGAAAAAGAAATATGAAAAATGAGTTTGGCAAGGCTAAAAGTAAAAGTATTCATGTTTCTTTACTGCAAAAATATACGTTTCAAATGTGGTTGAGGACACTGAGTTACTGTGAAGATTTCTATGTGTAGGTTTGGCTATGTGATCTTGCCCCTGAACCTTTCCCACTTCTTCACTTAGTTAAGGAGATACAAATTACCTTGGTTGTCCTACTACCTAAGTGACATCCCTCCCAACCCACTTTTAAATTTTGTTATTGTAAAAAAGTTTCAAATGTAAATAAAAGTAGATTGTATAACAAATCCTCATACACCTTACCCAGGATTAATAATTTTCTACATCTGTTTATTCCTTCTTTATGTCCTCTGTTGGATGCTCTGCATCTTTCCAAACTTATTATAGGAGTTCTGCAGCACTCAGTTCTTAAAAACTCTTCCCCTATTTACAACATTCACTTGTAGAGACTCAAGCAGTCTCCTGTCTTGAAACCCGTATCTGCGTTCCCTCTTTCTCTCAGTCTTTGCATTTCAGACAAAACTCATTTCTTCAGGCAAAATCCTTGAAATATTTTTTAATTCTCTCTCCTCTCACACCCTGCATCCAACTCATAACTAAAACTCTACTGGTTCTACTTTCAAAACAGATCCACAATCAATCCCTTCTCATCACCCTTACCACAATATCCTGGTCTAAACTATTATACTCTCCCATCTCCTTGAACCAATACTAATAGTAAATATGAATGACTAATAACTACTAAGAGCAAGTGAAAATCATTAACTGAATCTTCATCTTTCCCTTTAACCCTTTTTTTTTGGGGGGGGGGGGGACGGGGGAGCACTGAGTAGGGGGATGAAACTCAGGGCACCCTAAATCACCAAGCTACCTCCCCAGCCCTTTTTATCTTTGAGACACAGTCCTCACTAAGTTGCTGATGCTGGCCTCAAATCTGCAATCCTCCTGCCTTAGCCTCCTGAGTTGCTACAATTAAAGGCATAAACCACTGGGCCCAGCTTGTCCTTAACCATTTCTATGTGAATGAGATTTTAAAAGAACTTAAGTTGCTAAAATAAAACCTATAAAGAAACCTTATACAATGTGTGCTTAAAAATGTCTAAATAGAAGTATACCCAGGACAGAAAACAATGGAAGCTTATTCATCCTGGTTAAAAAAAAAAAAAAACAACATAGGTTATAGGTTATTACAACACTGCTACCCTTAGCCCCCAAGCTCCCTGATATTTAAACTTTCTAAATCTGGCTCTTTATGTGCCCTTTCAATCCTGAGAAGCTAGCATAGTTGTTCATGCTCCCTTTCCCAAAAGCTTTCCTGACTTAAAATTCTTAAGAATTGAGACTACTTTAAATAACTTAGAGACTCTTTTAACTAGGCAAAAATGTTTCTGTGTCCCATTAACTATAGTATCAAGTAAAAGTGCTCCACTTGTCTCAGTGTTAGTAATTTTTTCTAGAACCTAAAAGTACTCTGATACCTTGGTGCTGCTTTGATGATGTTGTCCACACGTAGAATCACCTCTGCTGCTTCAGCTGCACTCAAAAGAACTTGCCGCTTCACTTGGAAACTTTCTGTGATGCCCAATATTGCCATATCTCCTATGGTACCTTCTTTCATATCTGAAAAGAAAAACTTGTAGTTTAACAACTGAAGTATTAAAACATCTTTAATGATTTATAATAAATAAAATGAAACCTGTTTTAAAAAAACAGTCTAAGATTACAACACCCAACTACTTGATATAGTTAGCAAATTAGTTCATAAAAGAATTCAGGAAAGCCTTTTAAAAAATTAAAAGATCAAGGGACTGCGGTTGTGGCTCAGTGGTAGTGGGCTTGCCTAGCATGCATGAGGCACTGGGTTCAATTCTCAGCACCACATACAAATAAATAAAGGTCCTCAAAAAAAAAAAAAAAAAATTAAAAGATCTAACCAGGCATACCCATGTTTATAGCAGCACAGTTCACAACAGTTGAATTCTGAAATCGGCCTAGGTATCCATTAACAGATGACTAGATAAAAATAATGCAGTATGTTTAACAATGGAATTTTATTCAACCATAAATAAGAATTCGCAGGTAAATGAATGGAATTTGAGAACATTATGTGAAGTGAAATAAGTCACACTCAGCAAGCCTAGGGCTGAATGTTTTTTTTTTAGATAAATGGAAGAAAGAGGAAGGGGGTAAAAAGGCATTTGTGTGTGTATGGTGGATCGTATGAAAACAGAAGGGAGACCAGACAATTAGTGAAGTAGTGTAGAGGAAGGGGACTGAGGGAGGCAGGGAACGCGGAAGGGGGAGGTACAAGGGAACGATAAATCATTATCTGTATGCACACGAATATGTAACAGAAAATCCCACTATTAAGAATAAAGTACCAATTAAAAAATATAGAGAGGGGGCTGAGGATATAGCCCAGTGACAGAGTGTTTTGCCTAGCATGGATGAGGCCTTAGGTTCAATTTCCAGTACCACAAAAAAAAAAGGGGGGGGGGGAGAGTTTCCAATGTCAATTACTGCTAGGTGCAGTGGCATACACCTGTAATCTCAGTGATTCAGGAGGCCAATGCACAAGGGTGGCATGTTTTTGGCCAGCTTCCACAACACAGCAAGACCCTGTCTCAATATGAAGGAAAAAAAAAAAAAGAACTGGGATGTAGCTCAGTGGTAATGCAACTCTGACTTCAATCCCCAGTACCAAAAAAGAGGCACTTCTATTCTATTCAATTACTATTCACCTGTATTAACAGAGGGCAACAATGTCAAAGAACAATTAATTGTACAAAACACTAGGTCACTTACATTAATATTCTCTCTTTATCTATACCTATATATAAAATTAATGCAGAAAATTTGCTTATTGCTAACTACTATAAAGTCATACACCTGGAAGAAATTTATAAGTCACCTATCCAACCTTTCATTGTTTCTCAGACAGATGATTAATTGGCTCTTATTCAATGACAGGATTATCTACTTTCTAAGATTGTTCCTATAATACGTTGCAGAGCTTATTAGAAATTTTTAATCTGAATTAAATCTGCCTGTTGGCCACACTTATCTATGGATTAAAGATCTGCCTTCAAGAATGTCTCAATAAGTTTATTATAAAATTAGGAATTAGCTAGAATGACAGTGCATGCCTGTAATCCCAGTGACTCGGGAGGCTGAGACAGAGGATCACAAGTTCAAGACCAGTCTCAGCACTATTTTAAAATTAAAAAAAAAAAAAAAGACTAGGGATGTGGCTGAGTGATTAAATCCAAGGTATGCCCCCACACACCCATCAAAAAAAAGAAAAGGGAGTTTTAAGAAATCATAGTAGATGGGCTAGGGATATAGATCAGTGGTAGTGGTAGAGTACTTGCTTAACAAGGTCCTGGGTTCAATCTCCAGTATCAAAAAGAGAATAGTAGTAGCAGAATTTACACTTATTTCAGAATATGAGCATTATTTATGCATCATTATATACCAAACTAGTTACCAATCTTCTAACTAGTTTTATACTTCCTAGGGTAATGTTGAGAATATGAAGTTAAATATTTCCCCAAATAAGTTACAAAAGGAACAAAGGAATCTTATACAGTTATCATCAAACTTCTTTTTCTTCTTCCAAAAAAAAAAAAAAAAACTGGAGATAGACACTTTTGTCAACTACTACAAAAGTTGCACATTATTTCTTACCCAGTCCAGCAGTTATATTGCCTTCACTGTGAGCAGCTCGGAGCTGTGCCACCAAATCTGCGCTGTCATAGCCTGCATTGTCAGCTATGATGGTTGGTAACTATGAAATGAAGGAGATAAATTAACTTTACTATACAAAACATTAACTTACTGCTATCTAGAAAGATGGCTTTTAAAAACTACATTTAGAAACAATATAAAATCTGCTTTTAGTTATTGCTCATTAAGGGTATAAAATTCAGAATCAAATTTGAAAATGGTAATTCATGTTCTTAAAGCCAAGGCAGGCACTGGGGTTGTGGCTCAGCGGTAGAGCACTTGTCTAGCACATGTGAAGCACTGAGTCTGATCCTTTAGCACCATATAAAAATAAATAAAGGTACTCTGTCTACAACTTTTAAAAAAAAAAAAAAAGCCAAGGCAGTGACTATTTGCTGTCTAGGATGTAAAATGTACTCATTTTAAAATCATCAATAGCCACAAAATTTAAGTTGAAATTTCTCATTTTTACTAGCTTACCATTCTCAGTGCTTTAGCATAAGACTCCATTGCAACAGCTTCTTTGCCTGGTGTTCTACTGGCAAGCTGTGTCACAGCATGCGCCATCAGCATCTCAGAACAGCCTATGAATAAAAATTCCATTAAAATATTGCTAATGTTATCTTCATGGTACTGAATTATTGACTTCCCTTCAGATATTGCCAAGTGCTTTAAAATTAAGTGCAAAGACCAGGCACAACGGTGCCTGCCTGTAAACCCATCTAATTCTGTAGGCTAAAACCAAAGAATCACAAGTTGGAGGCCAGCCCAGCACACAGGGAGGTCCTGTCTCCAAAAAAAACAGGGATGGGGATGTAGCTCAGTAGTACAGTACCTCTGGGTTTAACTGCCAGTACTGCAAGTGGGGAGAAAAATTTTAAAAAACCCTAAATGCAAAGATAATACATTTAGTTTCTAAGAACCAATAAAACCATCTATGAGAACCATATCATACTTTTATTTCTTAAAGTGTTTAATGTTTTCCAAATTCTTACCTCCTCCATATACTGTTCTAGAATCCTTCACAGTTTGGGCAAGAACACAAAGAGCATCATGCAAAGATCTTTCTGCTTCATCTAAAATTTGTTGAGTGGCACCACGCAAAACAATGGTACAAGCCTCACCTAAAATTAAAACATAATATTCTTATATTATAGTGACAAATTACTCATAAACATGAAAATTATGCACTCTATGATTTATGTAGGTGTGGTTTACATTCTTGGATTTTGAAAGCTGATATATTCTGTGACGCATTTTCTTTCCTAACTTATATTCATAGTGATTCTAAATAATAGAGAAAACTAAAAGCTGAATATGTACTCTTCATAAAAGGCAAAATAAATATGAAGTTTACTTCAAAATATGCTTTTTCAAAACTTTAGGCTTGGGGCTGAGGATATAGCTCAGTTGGTAGAGTGCTTGCCTTACATGCATAAGGCCCTGGGTTCAATCCTCAGCACTACAAAAAAAAAAAAAAAAAGATTTTAGACTAATGACATTTTCTAGTACTATAGTAACTTTTTTTTTCCACTTCAATGGAGCCTAGAAAAGATTTAGGAACCATGAGACACATAATAACAACACACCAAGGGCATAATAACTCACCAAGGGCAACCCCAGAAAAGTGAATGAGTTTATCTTCTCCAATCATGACTTCCTCAATAAGTTTGCAACTTCCAAGCTTCACCAGTTCTGGGTGATCAAAGGTAGAAGCAATTTCTCCACCTATGAACATAAACATTAGATGTGTGTAATAGACTTATAAATAATGTATTAACTACATTTTAAAAACTGATTGCTGGGCTGGGGTTGTGGCTCAGTAGTAGAGCTCTTGCCTAGCATGTATAAGGCACTGGGTTTGATCCTCAGCACCACATAAAAGTAAATAAATTGTGTCCATCTACAACTGAAAAAATAAAAATAAAAACTGATTGCTTACTATACATCAGTTACACTATACACTAATTCTTCACATCAACTGTATGCAACAGGTTAATTATCTGATTTGCACATTGCAAAAAAAGAGGCAGAAAGCTAGGAATGTGGTTCATGGTAGACAGATTGCCTGGCATGTGTGAGGCCCTGGTTTGATCCCCAGCACCACAAACAAAAACAAAACAAAGAAGGCATATAGGTTTAATGATTTATGTAAAGTTACATGGCTAGTATAAACTGAAGCTGAGATTCATATCCAAGTAGTCTCGCTTCAGACCTGTATGCACGCTGTGGGATACGACTCCCCAAAGGTTAAATCAAAAGTTAAAAAAAAACATTTACCTTTAAAAGTCTGAACTTAAATTCTAATTCTCTTCTGAATCCAATCCAGAATACTAAATTTCATAAAACAATTTCCCATGACACAATAAAAATATCCGACCAGGTATTTTATTTATGTTAACTATTTTTGGGGACAGAGGGATACCAGGGATTGAACTCTGGAGCACTCAACCACTGAGTCATATCCCCAGCCCTATTTTATATTTTATTTAGAGACGGGGCCTGAGTTGCTTAGTGCCGAGCTCTTTGCTGGCCCTGGGTTTGAACTCTCAACCCTCCTGTTTCAACAGTCCAAGCTGGTAACACACTGCACCTGACTAACTTTGACAAGTATTTTTGAACTGCTTACAATATGGGCATTTGATAGCTCTAATTCTCACAATAATTGAAACGTCAAAAAGCCCCAGTAAGGCCTAGAAAAGGGAGAAATGCACACTGAGAATTTCCCACAGCAAAACTTACCGAGGTATAAAAAAGAGTGAATTCATTTTAGTTCTTATGTCTTATTTCAAGTTAATTTCCATCTTCCATGCTCTATAAATTTAACTTCAGCTACTTCATTTCCTGTTCCTGATCAAAGCAAGCTAGTTTTCCATTTCAAAATCCTTTTTTAAAAATTATGTTCTTTCCCTTTTAATAATGTGGATTTCATGTATTATCAATCAAACCTTCTTTTCCTATTTTTTTTTTGATCAATTTCCTGATTAAATAGTGTCTTTTTTTTTTTTCTTTCTTTTAGGCCAGGGGGCTGGGGTACCAGGAATTGAACCAGGTGCATTTTACTATATCCCTAGACCTTTTTACTTATTTTTTATTTTGAAACAGGATCTTGCTAAGTTGAGGCTGACCTCTTGCCTCAACCTCCTGAATCACTGGGAAAACAGACAAGTGCCACCATGACTAGCAATGCTGTTATCTTATTATCTTACCAAGAAGTGACAAAGAATCTGTTCTAAATTCTACAAATTTATACTCATAATCTGTATAATCTTTTTACTTTTGGTTGACAATTCTTGAGACTGCTTGTATTATAGATGTGAGACAATAAGTATCTGGGACATCACATCCAAAAATAATCTAACTTTACTTTTGGTAACATTCATTTCATCTTTCTATATCTGCTTATGAGACATTTCTTGACATTTGCAATAATCATTTTCACATACATTGATACTTAGCTCTGATTATGAGGTCAATTTCACAGCCAGAGTTGTGCTTGTTGTAGTAAATTTTCTTCTGAATATATGTGACAATTTCATGTACTAAGTCCTTATGATATCAATTTGCTCTATGAATTATGTTATCATCCATATTTCTTATGTCTTTATTTTTTTTAAACAACAGAAATTTATTGGTTGCTCAAAACATTACATTGATCTTGACATATCATACATGTATTTCAAAATGTCTTTATTTTCTTGCATTAGAAGATCAATTACATCAACATGAACATTATGGTTTTATGTGTTAACTTACACATCAAGTTTACCATGGATTATAAAGAATTTTAAAAACAGGTAAACCCACTTCCAAGTAATTAACAAAAGGATAATGTCTCTAGGTCAAAGGAAGATTATGCCTCTCAAATTACTAAAAATGGCTTCACATATCATTCTGAGCCAGGCATGGTGGTGCATGCCTATAATCCCAGCTATCAGAAAGGCTTGAGGCAAAAGAACTGCTAGTTGGAGGCCAGCCCAGCAACTTAGTAATCCAGTCTCAAAATAAAAAATAAAAAACTAGGGATGCAGCTTAGTGTTAGAGTATATGCCTAGCATATATGAGGCCCTCGGTTCAATCTCCAGTGCAGGAAGGAAGGAAGAGAGGGAGGGAGGGGGAAGGAAAAACAAGAAATCATTCTGGGATGAGGTGACAAATACTTTCCAAGTTAGTACACCTAATTTCTTCTAATATTTCCAACATTCAGGTCTTCTCAATTCTCATTCCCAGATTCCAAACCAACTTTCCAACCTACTTATTGGACCCAAATGAAATTTAGATGATAAAAATAAAAAGTTTTTCTAGGGCTACTTAGTGACTACGTGTAGAAATCATTATTGCAACAAGAAACAAACAAGTAAGACACAGATTACTATCTGATTTGTAAACACAATTTCTATTTGACACAATTGGGATTATATCACTCAAATCTCCACTCAAGAGTGTTAAGCATACACTTTCATCATATGATGCTGAACTGTTTATTTCAACATTTATTACTTCCAGAAAAATTTAAAAATTAAGAAAACTAAGTATACATACTTTAGCACAAAGTGTTCATTAAAGGTTACTACTGTAACTGTATTACACAGAGTATGAAGCATTCAACTACTCCTTAAGCAATAGTTTGTTTAGACTATATTTAAAATTAAACTTATAAACTGTTAAGAAAAAATTTATCTTTAGGGCTAGGGTTGTGGCTCAGTGTAGAGCACTTGCCTAGCAAGTTTGAGGCATTGGGTTTGATTCTCAGCACCACATATAAATAAATGACTAAAACAAAGGTTAATTAACATCTAAAAAAAGATTTATCTTTAAAATAGTAACACCAACAAAAAGAAATCTACAGCCATGGTGAACCTTGTATATAACTTGGCATAGCATTATGGCAGTATGCATTATTTTGGCTAAGCATTCCTAAATTAGCTGTAAATTCAAAATATAAACTTTTGAACATGAACACAACAGCAAAACTTTAATGTGATGGATCACAGATGCACCAAAATATTGCATAAAATTTCCTTCAGACTGAGTACAAGATGTACATAAAACAAATGACTTTCATGTTTACAACTGGGTCCCATCCTCAAGTTATCTCATTATATATATGCAAATATTCCTAAATCAAAAAATAAAATCCAACATCTAAAGGGCTTCAAAGTCAAAGACAAAGAATATTCAACCTGTATTAAAAATACTGTAACTAGTCAAGTGTGGTGGTGCACGCCTATAATCCCAGCAACTTGGGGAAGCTTCTGGCTCAAAATTAAAAATAAAAAGGGCCTGAGATGCAACTCAGCAGTTAAAAGTAACTAAATTACAAACTTCCAAAAGTATAAATGAGATTTCAGAATAACTCTTCAATAAGATTTCAGAATAACTCTAAAACTCTAAACTCCTTACAGGGATTTCTTCATATTTTCAACAATGAACCGCATATAGTAATGTTTAATAAATCTGAGTGACTATTATGTTTATTAGAAATTAATGCCTTTTGGGCTGGGGATATAGTTCAATTGGTAGAGTGCTTGCCTTGCAAACACAATGCCCTGGGTTCGATCCCTACCACCATAAAAAAAAAAAAAAAAACCCAAAAGAAATTAATGCCTCTTACACATACCTGTAACAAGGGCCAGGCGCTCTACACCTGCAAAATCTGCATGCTCAATAGCCATGACACCAGCAGCACCAAAAAGCTGTTCAGGATAATTATAAATTAATTGCCTGCAAATAAAACATATAAATCATTATGCTCAAAACTGCTGTTTCTCAAAACAAGCTAAAAAGAATGCAGATATTTTTTACCAGACACACAAATTAGAACAAGTTACCATTTCTCACTTATCCCAGCAAGATGGGAGGCTAAAATAGGATTGTCAAGTTCAAAGCTAAATTTAGCAACTTATTGAGACTGTCTGTCTCAAAAATAAAAAGGGCTGGGACCATGGCTTAGTGGTTGGGTGCCCCTTGGTTCAATCCCCAGTACAAAACAAAACGAAAACAAAAAAAAAAAAAAGAAAGAAAATGTATTAATTTAGCAGAAAAGCATCAAAAACCTTATTGATGTCCATATACGTTAACTCCTGGTAATCTACAACAATAAAATTTAAATGTTAAAGAATTTTTTACGTGGTTTCATTTTTCCACACTTCAGTTATTCATGGTCAATTGAGGCCCAAAAATAAAACCAATAGTTTGGTTCTAAATAGCCTACTAAAATCTTGCATTGTCCTGCTTTGTCTTGCCCAGAATGTGAATCACACCTTTGTCCCAAGTCTCCACAATGTTTTCTACCTGTCTTTAGTCACTTAGTAGCCATCTAGGTTATTAAATCAACAATCAAGAAATCTCTATATAAGTAACCTTACATCGCAGTCAAACATTAAGGCACAATGCCTAAGTTATTCACCTCACTTCATCTCAAACATAAGCACTGTTATCATAAATCTCACATCATCACAAGAAAGATAAGTACAGTACAATGAGGTACTGAGAGAGGACAATCAAGAACACCTTCACATGTGAAAGTACAGTTTAACTGTCTTACTTTATTATTGTTGTATTAAGTGTTGTTAATCTCATACTGTGCCTAATTCGCAAGTTAAATTTCATCCCAAACATGTAACGAAAAAACCGAAAACCAAGAAACAGTATCTAAAGGGTTTAGTACTATCCATAGTTTCAAGCATCCTCTAGGGGTCTATGAATATATCCAACGCCGTGCAGGGGCAACTACTGTACAATGTTCTTCATCTGTGCCACACCAAGTCAGCCAAGAAAGTAAAGATTAAATGTGAGTGATTTCTATGCCTGCTAAGAGTATGTGTAAATCACATCTAATTATGAAAATCTATAATATTAAAAATATGTACTGTAACTAGGCACAGTACTCCTATAATCAGAGACCAAGGAGGCTGAAGCAGAAGGATCCCAAGTCCAATATCAGCCTAGACAATTTTGTGAGACTCTCAGCAACTTAGGAAGAACTTGTCTCAAAATTTAAGAAAGGACCGGGGTTCAATTCCCAGCACCAAAAGAGATTAAAAAGTAAACATAATATGTACTACAGTTTCTAAATAACATTACTAATACAAGTAATTCAATATGAAGTACTTCCATAATTTTTGTAAGAAAAAAATCATTTTTTACATTAAAAATACCATTAATGAGCTGGGGATATAGCTCAGTTGGTAGAGTGCTTGCCTTGCATGCACTAGGCCCTGGGTTCAATCCCTAGCACCAAAAAAAAAGTATCATTAACACATACAAACACAGACCTGTTAATAAAGCAGTTTATTCCATGCTTAAGAATACGTTCAACTTTCTCCTTCATTTTTTCCTTTTCCGCATGTTCAATTTCTGCAACCTTTGCTGTAGAATCAACTCTTACCCGGGAACCAAATATCTAAAACAAAGAAATACACATCAGTACATGTACACAGAATCAGTTTTATTAATCTTTTTAAGTCCCACTGCATATTTCAACATTTTTATGAACTACCAAAAACTATGTATAAACCAGGCGTGGTGGTATGTATAATCCCAATGGCTCAAGAGGCTGAGGCAGGAGGATCCCAAGTTCAAAGCCAGCCTCAGCAAAAGCAAGGCACTAAGCAGCTCAGAGACACCATGTCTCTAAATACAAAAAAGTACATGTGTGTATATATTCATACACACATTTTAAGCTTTTTAATGCATCTCATTCCCAGCCTGAGTTTATAGCAACCAGCAATTACAACTTCAAGAAAAATAGTTACATACCTTTATTTTGTCTGTATCCATTCCAGTGTTTGCAATAAGAATTTTTGCATTTTCAATTCGCTTTGGTTGATTTACTCCAATTTTTTTATCCAATAGGAATCCTACAATAAACATAATAGTATTAAAAGGCTTCATTTATGAAATGACTAATTCAAGGAATTTATTCAAGTTCAATTTACCAAGCTCCTAGAACCTACAAACCATCCCATAGAAAAATTATCAAAAAAATCAATTTAGTGGGTTATTTAAATTACAGAAAACATCAGAGCACAGCACATACAGTAAAAGGTAAACCTAAAACTTTGAAGCTGGTAGTAAAATTTAAAAATAATGGATAAAAGATGAGTTGGACAAACTTGTCCAATCATGTCCCTGATGCATACTGATTTACGGTTAAGCATCAAGCATAAATACACATCTGTCAAATAGAAATAGAATCAGACAAAGAAATACTAGCTACTAACCTAGCTGTGGAGATTTGGTACCATCATATATATGAACTCAGTACTGCTTATCTTTCCAGGCTTCTTTGAAATTAATGCATAAGAAACTTTTCCCTTATTGAGTTTTCTGTTCTTTTCAGTCAAACTATTCACTCAATGGGTCATCATCACAAGGACTAAAGAACTACAATTCCTATTGCACTGCCTGGCAGACAACAAAGAACAGCAGGTACTTGTGCTACTGTCCTTTTTCTTCCCCCTCCTTCTAACCTTGTTTTAAATAAAATTCCACTACTCATCAGGTCCTGTTAAGAAATACTAGACAATTACAGAACAAAAGTAACAAAAACAGCATGGTACTGGCACCAAAAAAGGCATTTAGACCAGTGGTACAGAACAGAAGACACAGAGACAAAATAAGTAAATACATAAATACAGTTATCTCTTACTAGACAAAGGCGCCAAAAACATACATTGAAGAAAAGATAGTCTCTTCAACAAATAGTGCTGGGAAAACTGGAAATTCATATGCAGCAAAATGAAATTAAGCCCCCATCTCTCACCATGCACAAAACTCAACTCAAAGTGGATCAAGGACCTAGGAACTAGACAAGAGACCCTGTACCTAACAGAATCAAAAATAGACCCAAATCTTCATCATGTCTGATTAGGCCCCGACTTCCTTTAACAAGTGTCCTAAAGCACAAGAAATAAAAGCAAGAATCAATAAATGGTTGCATGCACAAGGTCCTGGGATGGATTCAAACTAAAAAATTGCTTCTCCACAAAAGAAACCATCAGTGAAGTGAAGAGAGAGCCTACAGAATGGGAGCAAATTTTTTCCACACACACATCAGGTAGAGCACTAATCTCCAGGATATATAAAGAACTCAAAAAACTTAACACCAAAAAAACAAATAGCCCAAACAATAAATGAGCTTAGGAACTGAACAGACACTCTCAGAAGATATACAACTGATCAATAAATACATTAAAAAAACCCTCACTCCAGTCAGAATGGCAATTATCAAGAATATAAGCAACAATAACTGTTGGCGAGTACGTGGGGGAAAAGGCACACTCATACATTGCTGGTGGGACTGCAAATTGGTACAGTTAATTTGTAAAGCAGTAGGAGATTCCTTAGAAAACTTGTAATGGAACCACTATTTGACCCAGCTATCCACTCCTGGCTCTATACCCAAAGGACTTAAAAATAGCATACTACAGTGATGCAGCCACATCAATGGCAGCCACATTAATAGCAGCTCAATTCACAATAGCTAAATTGTGGAAGCAACCTAGATGTCCTTCAATAGATGAATAGATAAAGAAACTGTGGTATACATACACAATGGAATATTGCTCAGTATTAAAAGAGAATAAGGGGCTGGGGATGTGGCTCATGCGGTAGTGCGCTCGCCTGGCATGCGTGCGGCCCGGGTTCAATCCTCAGCACCACATACAAACAAAGATGTGGTGTCCGCCAAAAACTAAAAAATAAATATTAAAAATTCTCTCTCTCTCTCTCCCTCTCAAAAAAAAAAAAAAAAAAAAAAAAAAATTAAAAGAGAATAAAATCATGGCATTTGCAGATAAATGGATGGAGTTAGAGAACATCATGCTAAGTGAAGTCAACCCCCAAATACCAAAGGCTGAATGTTTTCTCTGATAAGTAGATATTAATCCATCATGGGGGTGGGGGGTACGCCCATGGGAGGAATGAAGGAACTTTGAATAGGGCAAAGGGGAGGGGGGAAAGAGGAAGCATGGGGGTAGGAAAGATGGTGGAATGAGACAGACATCATTACCCTAGGTACATGTATGATGACACAAATGGTGTGATTCTACTTTGTGTACAACCAGATGCATGAAAAATTATACTCCATTTGTGTATTATAAATCAAAATACATTCTGCCGTCATGTATAACTAATTAAAATTACAAAAAAAAATACTAGTCCCTACATATAAAATCCAATTAAAAATATTTTTTAAAGTAATAATTTTCTTCTTCCCTGTAGGAGAATGCCTACATCTTCTTTATAACATTTTGAGAAGCAAATACAACGTGAAGTTGCTTTTTAACACCATGCTAAACTGTACCCTCTAGTAAGGGCAATGGCACATGCCTACAATCCTCGTCATACAGGAGGATCCCAATATAAAGGTCAGCCTCGGCAATTAGCTTAACCCTGTCTCAAAAAATAAGGACGACTGAGGATGTACCTCAGCGGTCAAGTACCCCTGGGTTGAATCCCCAGTATCAAAAATAAATAAATAAATAGATCTATAAATCCTATCTATCAGGACATAAACCACATAGATTTGTCAGTTGAAGGATCTTCTTAAAACAAGAAAGAACACTTCCTCAGTAACCTGCTAACTACTAAATGGTCTGACTTACCCAGATCCCTCCTGGATGATACACGTAATACTAGAAAAAGTGCTATTTGAGAGTAGCTAATTTTCAGCAAAAGAAAATCATAATTACTCAGGGACTGGGGTTGTGGCTCAGTGGTAGAGCGCTTGCCTAGCATGTGTGAAGCACTGGGTTCGATTCTCAGCACCACATACAAATAAATAAAATAAAGGTCCATCAAGAAAATTAAAAAAGAAAAGAAAATTACAACTACTTTTCACTAGACTGCAAATAATTTCATGGTACAAAGTGAAATCTAGAAGTTATCAGAAAAATACAGGAATGGTATAAGAAGATGACGCACACTGTCAGTATTTAACAAATAGATTAAAATGAAAAATGGTTGAAATGTATATGTCCTCAAAGTTAAGTTTTCTGGCTCTGTAAATTGTCACAAATTCCCATTAACTAAAATCAAGACTCATTCAGTATTCAGCCTCTCAGAAGCTTATCCAAACTTCTTTCCCATATTTGGACACCCATACATACCTTCATCTAAATAAGAATCTGCCAGACTCCCTCCTAGCTTCTTGATGACATGAATCGCCTCCAGATTACCAGAACCTTTCAGTCTGAGAACAGCTTCTACAGCTAATTTGGTAAAGTGATCTTTGTGATGAGTAAGAAGTTTTGAGGATAATGTTGTTCCTGCAATATTCATTAAATCTTGACGGAACTTAACTTCATCAGAACTAAATAAAAAGCAATAAAAGAAACAAAAAGAAAACCAACCCTGTTATTAAAATGTTTGCTCACAGTAAACAACACTATTTTACTTTTCAAAGTTTATCTAGATAACCATTAATCCATAGTTATTTCTACCCTAGCCAGGTCTCCAAAATTCACAGGAAAAGACTAAACCTCTCTCCAATAATCCAGAGAAGTGAATTAAAGGGTACGTTTTCTCCACCAAACTGCCCAAGGGGGCAGGAATGGAGGGACAATCAAAAGAATATTAAATGTACTGGGTGCGGTGGCACACGCCCATAATCCCAGTGGCTCAGGAGGCTGAGATGGGGGATATTGAGTTCAAAGCCAGCCTCAGCAAAATCGAGGGGCTAAGCAACTCAGGGACACAGTCTCTAAATAAAATACAAGAGGGTTGGGGATGTGCCCCTTAGTTAGATCCCCAGGTCTCACACATACATACATACATACATACACACACACACACACACACACAAAAATCAAATGTTGCCAAGAGCATGGGGAAACAAGCATTATCACACAATTAGTGTACTGGGAGTATAAATAAAATTTTTTGAACATTTATTTGGTAATGTACATAAAATGCCTTACTCACCTTTGGACCCAGCAATTGTATAAACAAGTTCCTAGATAACAAGTTCCTAGATAACAAGTTGGTCACATTATTTTAGAACTAAAATTATCAAGAACACAAATCTCCAACCATAAATAGATTAAGGAAATTCCATTAGTTCTATATGCAAACGTTTAACTCTATTAAAAGTAATATTGCAGAGATTACCAACACTTAAGAAATGTAATTGTTATCCAACTAGTTTAAAAAGATGCTAACATACCCTTTACACGATGTATTTGGGGTTTAGGGGCATTTTTATTTTTTATTACATGTAAAAAGACTAGAAACACAAATTTTTCACTTTGGTGGCTGTCTCTGGAGGCTGATGTGGGTTTGACTGGTGGGTGGAGTGAAGCAGAATCACACTTGTGTATGCTTTTCAGCATTCTTTAGGCTAGAATTTTAGAACAGTAGTATTTTGGTATACCAACCCGTGATCAACAGCAGAACTCAACAGAGCTTCTCTTGCAGCCTTTGTGGCTTCTCTCCAACCCGCAATAATGGTCTGTGGATGAATCTTTTTTGCAATTAAAGATTCTGCTTCCTATTAATAAACAGTTATACAAATAATAGTTACAAAGGACTTAATCACTTGTGTTATTCAAAACCATAGTAACAAAAAACAAGGTCAGAGTTCTCAGTTGCTCTTACCCTTAGTAATTCTGCTGCTAAAACAGTAACAGAGGTAGTGCCATCACCAACTTCATCATCTTGAACCCTTGACATATCTAGAAAGAAAAGTGTTAAAATTATTTCTCTGTAGCTTACTAAGTTATACAAAAATACCCACTACCAATCTACTCTCACTAACATAGATTCCTCACCTGACAAATTTGGGGAAGCTTTTAGGTCTGAAATAAAAAAATTTTTACCACTGTTGTGGTATGAATATGCCCCCCCCCCCCCGAGTTCATGTGTTGGAAACATAATCCCCAATCTCTCTCTTGTGATGCTTACCAGCATGTTATATCAGAGCAGAAGGCCCAGACATGGTTCCCAGACCTTGGATTTTCTAGCCTCTAGACCCATGAGCCAAATGAACTTCTACTGTTTATAAATTACCCAATCTGTGGTTTCTGTTATAACAGCACAAAATGGACTAAGATAATCATCAACAATTACATGGCACTTCTGAAACTGTATTTTAATAGTAACAATTAATTAAAAAGTGATGAGTATCAGTCAACACAACCTATTAGAAAACATCATTTCAAAATGTTAACCAAATAGTATTATCTTCAGACTCACCAACTAAAACTTTAGCTGCTGGGTTGTCAACACCAATATTTTTTAGAATAGTGGCACCATCATTGGTTACCATGAGAGAGGCATCTCGTCCACTACTTAAAAGAATTTTGTCCTAAAGAGAACATATTTATTTCAAGTTAAGATATAAATACACCTTCAAGAATGCATGAATCAATCAGCATACTCAGCAGTATACTGCTGACATTTAAATACCTCGGATAGCTACTGGCCATCAAATGTTTCCAATGCATACACCCCACTATCATATCTTCATTATCTATCCCCAGAGGCATTAGAAACACAAGGAGAATCAGACCTCCCTAGATTTGTTTCAGCACTGTGACAGAAAACAATGGAAACAACAGAAGCGTCTATCAAGTAAAGTTATAATCAAGCTACAGAATTCTATTTGATGGTTAAAGAGGAGATGGTGTATCTACTTACTTACTCTGAAAGGAATTTAAGAGAGTAATTACAGAAAAAGTACACACAAACAGCATGTATGTATGTTATGTCAGAACATAACAGGAAAATACTGAAAAAATGGACATACAAATAACACTGGTTGCCACCAGGGAAAGGCATGGAACTGGAGATAATGATCCAGGACTATTTTGTTCTTAGCAAAAAAGAACGTATTTACCACTTACAAAATTTAAGTCTTAAAAGATTAAAAAAAAAAAGTTACTAACTATATCTCCAATAAGAGCTTTAAAAAATATTAAAACTTATATTTGTGGCCAGCCTGGGCAAAATTTCAAGACCCTATCTCAAAACAAAAAAATTTGCTATTTTTGCTTACCATGCCCTTGGGTCCCAATGTGCTCTTCACCAAGTCTCCAATGGCGATGGCACCAATAAATGATGACTGAAATGAAAATCTGAGACTGTCAGAATTTTGATCATAGAAAAAAATATAATTGTATTTTTATAAGAACAAGGCAGAAAGGGCTTACCAGACGAGCTGTCTCCGCTCTCTCTTCATCAGCTCCAGCCTTGAAGATGTTAACAGGTGCAAGGGAAAGGGATGCCTAAAAAGGAAAATCAAGAATACGGATGCTCTTTATTTTTTGGTACCAGGGATTGAACCCAGGGGCACTTAACTACTGGGTCATATCCCCAACCCTTTTTATTCTGACCAGGGTCTCATCAAGTTTCTTAGGGTCTCTAAACTGCTTAAGATATCTTTGAACCTGTGATCCTCCTGCCTCAGCCTCCAGAGCTACTGGAATTGCAAGCTTGCTCACTGCGATGAATACCCATACTCTCTAACAATATATATTTTAGTGCCTTCCAATACATATAGAAGTAGGCATCTTAAGAGAATATTCATTTACAGTAATTTTAAAACAAATTAAGCATCCATCATCAAGGACTTACATGAGGACGCCAAGTATAAATAGTAAAGTCAGAGAGATCGAGTGTCTGGGCAAACTAGCGACAATATTAACTTAAGGACGAGTAGTGAGAGGGTGTAAGGCTACTCATTCGACAACGGCCAGGAGGGCGCCCTCCATCTTCCACCCTAGGGCGGCTCCTTCACGGCCCTCCAGACTCCGCCTCCAGGAGGAGGGCGGTGCTGTGCGGGCACTAGAAACTTCTTCGCTAGGGATAAGACCCGAGTCTCGTAGTCCCCAGACTGTTGAAAGGCCGAACAGAAAAAGGACGCCTCATTAGGCCCACTCCTCCTTCCCGCCCGCATGGAGGAATCTACCGGCTAAACCCGCGCAGGCCTCACGCCGCGACTCGCGCCATGTGCGGTGGGCCCAGAAGACAAGACAAGGGCAGCCCGCGACTCTGAGAACACGGAGGGAGCAGCGGTGTTGCCGGGCATGGCGGGGCTGGGACAGGGGTAGGAGGTAGAGAGCAGGAGGCCAGGCTCACCATGGTTCCGAGGAGTTCGGCACACAAGCAAATCCCTCACGCGCCCGGCAGCCAGCAGGGAAAAGGAAGCCGGAAGTGACGAGGACACTTTATCGCAGGGGGCGGGGCCCAGCTGCGCACTGCTACGGCCTGCAGCCGCTGCCGCCGCCGGAGCATCTCCAAGAGTTGCCTCACGGGCCGGAAACGTAGCTCTTCAGTGGGAAGGCGGGACATCGGCTCGCGCTCAGCCACTGCTGCGCCTACAGCTCCGGATGAGGAAGGGGCGGGGCGGCTTGAGGTTGAATTTCCGAAGAACAAAGAGACGCCGCGCTACAGGGGTTGCCACAGCAACGGAGTTCCACCTCACACATCTTTAATTTTTCTATTTTAAAATTTAATCTTTAAGACGGACATTTTGGCTCGTGCCTACAATCCAGCGACTCCGGAGGTTGAGGCTGGAGGCTCGCGAGTTCTAGGCCAGCCTTGACAACTTAGCCAGGCCCTGTCTTTAAAATTTAAAAAGGACGGGGGCAGTATCTCGACGGAAAAACGCCTCTGAGGGTTCAATCTTCAGTAATGCAAAAAATATTTAATCTTTAAAATTTTGTATTAAAGTCATATGTACAGTTTCAAATATTTTATACTAATAATGAAAAACAATTGAACTTATTGTTTCTTCTTCCCAGAAGCAGCTACTTTAAATTTTTTTTTTGGGGGGGGGGGAGGCGATATTTACGGACATATTACTAAATGATATATTTATTGTTATTTTAATTTTAAGCATTATTTACTGAGTAATACTTATTTACTGAATATTACAAGGGAGGATTTCTTTCCTTTTGTTGAGTTTTAAAATGTTGTTTCTAATTGGACCTGGATTGCCTAGTAGGACAAGGTCTTAGAACTCAGGCAAAACATTTAATTGTCTTTGCCCTTTTTTCCGCATTTCAGGAGGTTGTGCGTTCATTTCTTTTCCCCTCCAACAATAGAGGTAATTCATGTTCCTACATGATGTCTTGATAGAGATCAAGATTCCAAATATTTCAGTTTACTAAAAATAGTTTTTTGCTTTCTGTGAGTTGACCCCCCCTAAGATGACCAGAGAAAACTGTGCTTTAAAAATTTAGTTTTCTAGCATCTATGGATACCCACTTTTCTTCTTTTAATCACTTAGCAAGTGCCTGGATTTTGACAGTGAGAGGTTTCAATTTTTAGTTGTTTTTACCCTCAGATATATACTGGGGGTTGGCAAGCTATACAGAGGCGAATCCAACCTGTTGTTTTTGTATGACCCAAGAGCAAGGAATTTTTTTTTTAAATATATATATTTTTTTAGTTGTAGTTGGACACATATCTTTATTTTTTTGTGGTGCTGAGGATTGAACCCAGGGCCTTGCACATGCTAGGTGAGTGCTCTACTGCTGAGCCACAACTCCAGCCCCTGGTTTTTATGCTTTTAAATGGTTGCAAAAAAAAAAATTTTTTTTTCATGACACATTGAAAATTGTATGAAATTCATATTTGGGTGTTCAGAAAGCTTTGTTGGAACACAGGCATAATCATTTATTTTTAAACTGTGGCAGTAAAATGGCAGAATTACATAATGATGAGTTGAGTAGGTATGACAGATTGTATGGGTTCATAAGACCTAAAATATTTACCATCTCATCCTGTATAGAAAAAGCTTCTCGCCCTAGTTACATTATTCCTAAGGTCCACTGTGAAAAGCAGTGTTTGGGGTGGACAGATTATTATTTTAAATCTATCAAGAGTTCTCTATTATTTGCTAGAATACTTGCTCTTCCCTCAGGCCCCTGTCCTCTTGTGTTGGGGATTGAACCCATGGTAGGCAATCACTCAATCAGTGAGCTACATGCCCAACCCTTATTTTATTTTGAGGCAGTGTCTCACCACGTTACCTAAGCTGGCCTCAACATTTGATCCTCCTGCTTTGGCCTCCTAAGTAGCTAGGATTACAGTAACGAGCCATTCTGCCCACCTGGAAATGAATTTTAAGGATCAGATTCCAGATGACATTTCTGGGAATGACAAGAGTCACAATGAAAAACTAAGATGCCTTGCATAGTATTAAAAAGGACTGTGGGCAAATTACATACCTGTAATTTGCAGGTAAACCTAAGATTGTGAGTGATGGGGAAATCAATGTCCCCTCCTGTTAATACTTTGGAGGAGTGGGATGAATATGGCATGAAGCACTTGGATGGCACTGGAAGGCAGGCCCTGTCATCTCACAGAACTGGGACTAAAAGCAGTCTATGATCAGACCCTTCAGAATATGTCTTTTCTCTATTTCATCGTTCAGTTCTTCCTCTTTTCCTACTCCCCTTTCTTGATATTTATACTATTCCCAGAAGTTAAAATACTCAACTTTAGAATCAGGTCACAACTCTTTTTATATACTAGTTTTGTAATGGATTTCAGAGAGTGATCTATTAGCTGAATTTACCAAGTTTACAAAAAAAAAAAGTGTCTCTTTGCTTTTTATAAATTGTACAGCAATTTGTATTAGCTAGATTAAGGGAGCTGGGGATGTGGCTCAAGCAGTAGCGCATTCGCCTGGCATGCGTGCGGCCCGGGTTCGATCCTCAGCACCACGTACAAAGATGTTGTGTCTGCCGAAAACTAAAAAAATAAATATTTAAAAATTCTCTCTCCCTCTAAAAAAAAATAAAATAGATTAAGAGGCTAAGGAGGTAGCGAGATATTGGAATACCATGTTTCCATGATAGACTCTTTCCTCACTTATTTCCCCTCCTCTCTGCCCCTTTGTCTCTACTTCTCTTCAACTCTCCCTTTCCCTGCCTCACAACTCTTTTCTGTCACCTTCATTCTCCTCTTCTTTCTCCTTCACGGGATACGGGCCTTCACTGAATTGACATTGGCCAGCTTCCAGTTACATCGCCTGTATTTCCTGTTGTGCAAAAGGGAGATAATAATAGTACCTATGTCATATAAACATCACTAAGACATAATTGTTTGGAACAGTGCTTGGCCTACAATAAGCTCTCAGTTTAAGTTAGTTATTGTTCCAATAAGCTTTGCTAAACATTGTGGCCTACTAAGTTTGGATGTGCTTGGCATGATAAGGAAAGCACTATAGCATAATGTTATTTGATGGCTAGAGATGATTGGGGACCAGGAGTCATTATCTGAAGTGAAATAACTAACTGAAGTGGCACAATGATGACTAGAACAGTTATGGGACCTGTAAACATTTCTCAAAAACACTCAGACTATCAGGGGAGAAAAACCATATAAAGGATCTGAAGTCCACAGTCATGCTGAGTCAGAGTCCATCAGACTCTTAGGTAGTAAAGAAAAGGTTGGAAAACTTGATAAAATCCAGATATCACACAATTCTGACACTTGGTAAAGTTTGCCACTGGGAACAGGACACTTGAGTCTGAGCAAATAAGGCCAAGGTAAACTAATGAGATGTTTGTAAAAGTGGTAATGTCAAACACCAATATAATTCAAAATTCCAATTTCTATGAAAAGAATTTACCAGTATTCAAGCAATACATTGCTCTAGATTATGTAGTTGTTGTTTTTTCATTCTGTTTATGTTAGTCTAGCTTCCAGTTCCAGTCGTTCTCAGTGGGAATGGTATTGACCAGGTGGTGGTGAATGGGGAAGACATTTTCAGAAATACGTGGAACCTTTTAGGCTATCAAAATGATGGAGAATCACTACTATAATTTGTGGGGGAGGGGACCAGGGACCCTAGATATCCTACAGTGCACAAAGAAATCCTTATAACAAAGATTTATTTCACATCCTATGCGAATTTTTCAGGTCCCACACAGGTTTTTATTCACACAGCTGAACAACCTGTTCATAATGAGCCTAGAACCTAAATCTCTTAATACGCTCACACAACATAGACATTTAAAAAAGGTTTTATTAGAAAAGGTAATATTAAAAAATGTAAAAGAGAGCCGGGCACAGTCACACATACCTGTAATCTCAGTGGCTTGGGAGGTTGAAGCAGGGAAGATGGCTAGTTCAAAACCAGCCTCAGCAAAAGTGAGGTGCTAAGCAACACAGTGAGACCTTGTCTCTAAATAAAATACAAAATAGGGCTAGGAATGTGGCTCAGTGGTTGAGTGCCCCTGAATTCAATCCCCAGTACCCCCCACCCCAATTTATAAGATACAGGTTGAAGATAAACTATTTTATTGTTGAATAACTGCCTTTGTAGTCTGCATTTGACTGTTGCATTCATGTTGATTCCAAGTTTAAATTTAAATGTGAACACCCAACCAACCAATTGTTTTCCAATTAAGTCTAACTAAATTGCCCAGGTTGACCTCAAAACTTCCAATCCTCCTTCATCTTGCCATATTTGGCTGGGATTACAGGCATATACCACCATGCCCAACTATTTATTTATTCTTTATATTACAAGGCATTGTATTATTTTTTGAGATTACATATAATAGGTTATATCATCATTAGTTTTCACTTGAAGAGAATAATGTTGATTTACAAAATACTATTAAAAACTGGGGGGGGGGGTCTAGTAGGACTGAAAAGCATTGAGATTAAACTTTAATGCTCCTCCATTCAGGGTAAGGAGAGAGTGAAAAAATTACATTATGCCTCTCTCCCAAAGGGTCCTAATAATAACCATTTATTTATTTGCACAGTCCTGTATTTTCATTTTTTTTTGGGGGGCGGGGTATCAGGGATTGACCTTGGGGGCATTTGACCATTGAGCCACATCCCCAGCCCTATTTTGTATTTTATTTAGAGACAGGGTCTCCATGAGTTGCTTAGGGCCTCGCTAAGTTGCTGAGACTGGCTTTGAACTTGCCATCCTCCTGCCTCAGCCCCGTGAGCCACAGGGATTACAGGCATACTCCATTTTCACAGCTTTTTGATCATAAATATTTCCTGATTCCATCCTTGGGATACAGTGCCTTCTACAAACCTGTAAATAACCTAGATGGTTCCTCAGTTCCAGATTTAGATGTCATGCAAGCCCTGGTTCTCCAGGATTTCCAAGTAAGCCCTTGACAAACATCTATGGTGAATGATTTTTTTTTTAATCCTAATTTACCTCAGACCAATAATTTTGAAATATAGTCTTCTATTTCTGTACATTGGGCCTGGCTAGTTGGAGTAAAACCTTTATTAAGTTGTGGGAACTGTCATAATAAAATGGGAAACTCTTTAAGAATTGTCATAACACCTTCAAAAATTGTCTTTGAAAGGATCACTCATCTTTGTTACTGGGGAAATTGCTGTGGATAGAAAATCAGAAATCAGGGGCTGGGGATATAGCTCAGTTGGTAGAGTGCTTGCATCATATGCACAAGGCCCTGGGTTCAAACCCCAGCACAAAAAAAAAAAAAAAAAAATCAGAAATCAACTAGATCTGGTGGTGCACACCTGTAATCACATCTACTTGGGAGACCACGACAGGAGTATCACAAGTTCCAGGTCAGCCTGGGCAACTTAGGAAGACCCTGTCTCAAAATTTAAAAAAATTTAAAAATTTAAAAGGTGGGGATGTAGCTCATGCTGGAACACTTGCCTAGCATATGTGGGGTCCCGAGTTCAATTCCAGTGCTGCAAAAAATTTATAACCAGAAACTATCCAACTACTAGACATCTATCTCCATGTGGGTAACCCACCACTTTCTCTCCAAACCTATACCCCCAAGTGTGTGTGTGTATGTATATGAGTGTACTGAGGATTGAACTCAGGGGCACTCGACCACTGAGCCACGTCCCCAGCCCTATTTTGTATTTTATTTAGAGCCAGGGTCTCACTGAGTTGCTTAGTGCCTTGCTGTTACGTGTGCCACTGCACCTGACCCAGAGTATATTTTTAATCTCAGTGAACTGGAGCCATAAACAAACCAGTAACCCAAGCTAAAAGGCTGGGGTGGGGATTGGGGTCATCCTTGATGGCTCCATTCCTGTTTTTCTCATCAATCAAGTATTAATTCTCTGTTTTGTTCCAATTTTAGTGTACGTGCTGCTGAAACCTGCAGGTATTGATTCTCTTTCCTTAAGGCACTGTTACATTGGTAGCTCTGAATAAACTATTTTTGTATATTCACACCTTTACATAATCCTGTCTGAGAATTCGGGTAGGACTCATAATTTCATAGAATGCAGGAGAACCGACATTGTGCCAATTCTGAGTTTAGCCTTCAAGAAAGCCTAACATACTCTACCAGAAAAATTCTAGAATAAGTGAATTCAGCAAAGTAGGATATAAAATCAATATCCATAAATCAAATGCATTTCTATACATCAGTGATGAATCCTCTGAAAGAGAAATTAGGAAAACAACCCATTCACATTAACCAAAAAAAAAAAAAAAAAAAAAAAATCCTTGAGAATCAAACTAACAAAAGAGGTGAAAGACCTCTATAACAAAAACTACATGGGGCTGGGGCCATGGCTCAGTGGTAGAGGGCTCACATGGCATTTGTGGGGAACCGGATTCGATCCTCAGCAAATACATGAAAATAAATAAAGGTATTATGTCCATCTATAACTAAAAATATCTTTAAAAAAAAGAAAACTACAGAACACTAAACAAAGAAACTGAAGATGACCTTAGAAGATGGAAAAATCTCTTATGCTCTTGAATAGGCAAAATTAATATTGTCAAAATGGGGCTGGGGCTGTAGCTGGCCATAGTACCCAAAGCGCTATACAGATTCAATGCGATTTCAATTAAAACCCCAACATCATGGGCTGGGGTTGTAGCTCAATGGTAGAGCACTTATCTAGCATGTGTAAGGCACTCAATCCCCAGCACCATGTAAAAATAAATAAAGGTATTGTGTCCATCTATAACTAAAAATATTTTTTAAAAAACCAACATCATTCCTTATAGAAATAGAAAAAGCAATCATGAAATACATTTAGAAAAATAAAGAGATCCAGAATAGCCAAAGCAATCCTTAGCAAGAATATTTTTCACAAGCAGGAGGCATGACAATACCAAACCTTAAACTATACTATAAAGCTATAGTAACAAAAACAGCATGGTATTGGCACCAAAATAGGCATGTACACCAATGGTACAGAATAGAAGACACAGAGACAAACCCACATAAATATAGTTATCCTTTCATACTAGACAAAGGCACCAAAAACATATACTGGAGAAAAGATAGCCTCTTCAACAAATGGTGCTGGGAAAACTGGAAAGCCATATGCAGCAAAATGAAATTAAACCCCTATCTCTCACCATGCACAAAACTCAACTCAAAGTGGATCAAGAACCTAGGAATTAGAACAAAGATCCTGAGCCTAATAGAGGAAAAAGTAGGCCCAAATCTTCATCCCGTTGGATTAGGCCCCAACTTCCTTAACAAGACTCCTACTAAAGCACAATAAATAAAATCAAGAATCAATAAATGGGACAGATTCAAACTAAAAAAAGTTTCTTAGCAAAAGAAACAATCAATGAAGTTTATATGTAGTGTCTGCCAAAAGCTCACAGGTGAGACAATGCAAGGTTTGGAGAAGAAATGATTGGGTCATAACCTTAAACTAATTAGTGAACTAATCCCTAATGGGATTGAGTGAGTGGTGACTGGGGTATGGCTGGAGGAAGTGGTTCATTGGGGGTTTGGCTATGGGGGTATATATTTTGTATCTGGAGAGTGACATCTCTCTCTCTGGCTTTCTGATTACCATGTGAGCTGCTTCCCTCTACCACTGTTCTGCTGTGATGTTCTGCCTCACCTTGAGCCCTGAATGAGGCAGACCTTCGATAGACTAAGACCTCTGAAGCTGTGAGCCCCTAAGTAAACTTTTCCTCCTCTATAGTTGTTCTGGTTGGGTCCTTTAGTCACAGCAGTGACACAGCTGACTAAAACAAGGATGACTAACTGTAAATTCTTTTAAGGACAAAGGCTGTTATCTAACTAGCATAGGATCTGGCTCACATTCATTAAGTAAGGGCATGTGAATAGCAACTCTCCTCAAAAGAGTTTCAAAGGTAAAATACATAAATAATTCAAACAATTTTTTTGGGGGGGAGGATGCTGGAAATTGAACTCAGGGGTAATTAGAGCCACAACTCCAGCCTTTTTTAAAAAAATTTTTTTAGTTGTAGATGGATATAGTACTTTTATTTTATTTGTTTTTATGTGGTGCTGAGGATTGAACCCAGTGCCTTACACTTGCTAGGCAAGCGCTCTACCACTGAGCCATAACCCCAGCCCCTCCAGACCTTTTTAACATTTTATTAGAGACAGGGTCTCACTGAGTTGCTTAGAGCCTCACTGAGGCTGGCTCTGAACTCTCAATCCTCCTGCCTCAGCCTCCAGAGCTGCTGGAATTATAAGCGTGCGCCACTGCACCTGGCCAAACAAATTTTTAAATTCTAAGAATGTGTTGGTTTTCTAAGATGCAATCCTTACTACGACACTGTAAACAATTCAAGCATTCTCTAGTGTGTGGCACAAAGTATAAGCACCCAATCATTTGTTAGGTTGTCTACCCCCTACATCATATAAAATGACCTCCATCTCAGAGCTGTACTCAACTAGGCTTTGCAATCTCACTCAATGGCTAAAAATCAGGTTTAGAATCCCAGAGTACAGAACCACAAGTTTGACCATAAAAATGGAGACAAAACTGTGAGAAAGCACATCAAATAATCACCTAATCTTTAACATGATATATATTTACTTTGAAAATGAAGGCAGTGATATAAGACCAAGAAATAAAACCTTTATCATAAAGTTTCAAGGAATGCATGAAATAGAAATACAATAAAACTTTAAATAGGTATCCAACTAAACTTTTATTGGGTTTTATTGCAATCTACTTTTGGCAAGAAGGGGAAAGTGACCATAAGAACTCAGATCAGATTTTATTCAACAAAGCAGTTTTCATGAATGCTTAAGGTCAGTGTATAGTCAGCTCAGCTTCCAGTATCAACTTGAGTACCTCATTGTGGATATTTATGCCAGAATGACAACAGTAAGGCATTGCAAGATGCTACATCATCTAAGATTAAACCACATTTTACATATTATAATTTTTAGAACAGTAAAGTCTTCTAGTACTCTACAATAAATAAGGATTTTAAAAATGTGTTGCTTAGCCCTTGTTGAACAAAATTCAATTATTAGCTTATTCTTTAAGTACTCCAGTTAATAAAGGTTTGATTGTACTTCAAGAATCTGACTTTTCCAAAGATAAAAAAATTAGTTATTTGTTATGACAAAAATTAATCTTAAAAGCACATTCACACTTGTCCTTAAAAGCATGTTTACATCATATATAACTTCTCATGTCTGATAACATGGCTTATATAGCAAAAAGTTATATGCAAAGAACAACTAGAGGGCAATCCTCCCAACCCCACTTCCTCCAAAAAGCCACACTCGGCCTCAGTGTAAAAGTTGTATTTTATTGCCATGCTACAAAATGTATGAAGTTGGCACTGATAGGGAGAAATAGAGAACAAAGGGTGGGAAGGGACAGAGGGCAAATGATGTTACATATACAACAAAGTTTTATTTAAATTAACAGTGGTTAAGTTTTGCCAAGATTAAAAATGCAAACCAAAATTTTAAATGCTGATATGAAACAGCATTAAAATACAATTTGTGCATAGTACAGTATCACTTATGTCTTTTATTAGAGAAATATGGAATGTTTTTAAAAGAAATTAATTATGGGGGTAAAATTCATATTTCATATACAATTTGGCAATGGTAGTCCCACTGTTAGACAATTTTTATAAAAGAAAAAATTAAAAATCTAATAAGCTACCTTTATACAAAGTTGCTATATTTATGCCTTTATGTAGGAAAAAAACATTTATTATGCAAATTAGGACATACAATAATCTTACAATATTATACAATGCAAATAAAAACATAACACAAAGTTTGTCCTTTATAAAACGTATATTTTGCATTTACTAATGCAAATGTGGCACACTGGTGACTACTGTACTATTGATACCAGTCTGTTTCCATGCTATATCGCCCAATTGTCATAAATTGCAACTATAATGATGCTACAAAAGAAATGTTATACCCCCAAAAAATGAGGAAGTAAGGATGGGGAACAGAGATGTAAAGAACAGGGAAAAGATAGATAGGGTGCTGGTTTGGGCAGAGTATATTGTGGTATGTCATAAAATATTTGTTAATTTTTCAAGCCAAAAACATTTTCTATACATTCTGTAATTTCGTACCAATGCCTTTATTCAAATTTGGCAAACATCAAGGAAAAGGTAATTAGTACCACATACCTCACACATCAGAAATATGAATGAGATGCCAATACATCAGTTACTTCTGAATGATGCCTTTGATGGTATGTCTATTTCCCAAATATATGTATTTATACACACACTACACATTGCACAAAACACTTAGGCATTATGGGTTAGGAACAGCACAGGGGGAAACTGGGAAGCACTTGTCAGTTTGTTAAAAATCTTTAACTTGAGGCAAACACCTGATGGCACATTGTTGTAAATTATGAAAACATAAGGCCCCTGTCCCATTTTTAACAGAACATTACTGAGGTACATTTTTATATACTGTGCCACAAAGTTTGGGAAGTGGGTAGGAAGATAAACATCAGTTTGACTTATTCTAATAACATTGAACTGGGGGCAGGGAGGGTCAACATTAATATCTATAAAAACAAAAACTGCTTGGCAAATTTTTTTAAGTCCCACATGCGATCTATTCTGGATATACTGAGAAGTGAAAAGCTTTTTACTGAGTCTTCAAGAGTAAAGTGCGTATCTCATCACTCCACAGCAGCAGTCAATAAAAGGAACTTTTTGCCAATCTTCCTGGAGAGAGGGAAGGCACCGTATTTTCATTTTTAAAAGGAAAATCAAACTGTGAAATAAAACACTAAGAAAAACATAGGTAATACCCATATCAGCTTCCAACCCTGGTCTGGGATAAATGTTGTTATGATCAATATGGATAAAAGAGGGTTCTACTGGGAAACCCAAATGAACAATGATTATATTTCCAAAGCCAAAAAGTAGAATCACATGTTCAATGAACAAAACCATATATCTAAAATTAGATTAGTCTCAGAAAATCAGAGACATATGGCCACAATTATATGCCAGTAAAATATTGCAATCTAAAATGCACCTGGTAATAGGTACATTCTTCCAGGACAGGGCTTACTACCCATTACTAGACTACTGTGAAGGACAAGTAGTATTCTAACTTACTTTTCATTAAATAGGATTACAGGTGACTTCCAGAAGACATCCAGAATTAACACCAGTTGTATATCTCTTCCTAATATTCTTATAGTACCTTAAAATCAACTTCTTAGCAGACAAATTGGTCCCATTTTCATTTTTAAAGCACACAGCATTTAAAGCATAAATTGTACTGATTATCTTAGTTACCTAAAAAAATATAAAAACTAAATTAGAATCTGGAGGAAAAAGTAAAAAAGATGAGGGAAAAAATAAAGTAACCAACCTCCAAAATGAATAAACAGATCAGCCCTTTCATTTGGAGATTTATATTCTGCCTTGACTGCTTGTTTCAGAGAAAACCATGTGCATTGGTTCCATAATAATTCTTCTTCCATATTACAAAAAACCAGTACATAAATTTGGCACAATTAGCAATCTACTCAGAAGAAAGGATAAAAATGGAACAACATATTAAAAATGGAATCAGGAAAACTGAACATCTACACCACTGCTCTTTTTAAGAGAACAATGAACCTTTTAATAAGCACCAAGTTCACGGTGGGGGGGGGATGACAAAATTCTTGCTATGCTAATAAAATAATGGCACTGAAAATGACGAAAAAGATACCTGTAGTATTTTTTTTAAATAATGGTCCCACTCTATTGTTCTGCTAATCCATTCATTCTTCTATCACTAGGTTATTTATTGGATAAATTGGATGTTATATAACTGAAATGTTTTCTTACTAAATTAACCTTAGTTACATCTGGTAGATCCAGACCACAATCTCAAACTTCCTCATATTTAGAGAAAAACAATAAAATATTTTGCAAGGTTACCCAACCTTCTTTCTACTCAATCTTCTCTTGTATTTTCTAGTGTTTTGGAATATGGAACATTGATTTTCCAATAGTTTGACTTCTGAACTCTCCTCAGTATATATAAACTTCCGTTCATTTTAAACTCTAAATTATGACACAATCTCATTACTACAAGACTTCCACTGTACCTGCTATGCTGGCAACAATATTAACATTCCACTGAAATCGAGGGATAATCAGAAATCTGACTACAAGTGAAAGGACAGCAGAGCCAAGGAACAGCAGAGTGAGCAAGAGTACAACTGCAGCAATGTAGCTGAGGGAATCCCTGCTAAAGTGCTGAGGAGAGTGTCTACAGAGAAAACACAGTACCTTTAGGGAACTTTGCATGTTGAAAGGATTTTTCTTTTTTTCTCAGCTGCTAAAGATATCGCATATAGACAGAAGAGAAATTTAAAATTGAGAAAATGGTTTTTTCAACTTAAAAAGTAAATAGCATATAAATAAATACTGGACAAGGACAACTCTGTTATAGAATAACAGTAAGTTCCAAATGAACCTTCAAAACCATAAGTTGACAAAAATGCAAACTAAGAAACAATGAACACAGAATCCAATTTCAAAACTATATACAAACTCAAACATTTTAAATTGATAAAGACATTAAACAACAAAATATGACATCCCAAACACTAAGAAATTGAAGTTAAATGGGAACCAAATGACACAAAAGCCTCCAGAAAACAATGTGTCACCAATAAGCTATAGGAGAGAAAATTCAACAGATCTTGGTTCAGATTTTCAAAAAATGTTTTTGGGTAAAGTGACCTGAGACTGATTCTTAAGCCTACTTGTTTCTGAGTAAGATACCCAAACATGCCCTTCAAATCACATCATGAGATGAGTAAACAGAAAATCTTATCTCCTGCCTGTCTTTCAGCACACACCAACAGCAAACTATATTCATGACACAGACTCTTTCTAGTAACACTGAAGGCAAAGGAGCTGACTGCTATCAAAGGAGGTGTGGTATTTCTGTTTCCTTTTCATATGTTTTGGCTCAAGTCAAAAAGCCTTTAACTAGTGAAATAAAGGATTCCTCAGGTTAACATGCTGGAGGCCACACACTGTGAAGTGAATCTGCAAATATTACTTTCAAAGCCCTAGAGTTATGTGTTAGCAATGCACATTATCAAGAGGCTTTATAAAAAGTTTTAAATGCCAACCACGACTTAGACATGAAAGATACACATAAGTCCAGAATGTTGAATAAAAATCAACCAGCATGTCATTCATTTCAACTCTCATTTTAAATAGGCACTGTGAAAATGGGAATGCTGCTATACAATAATGAGTAGTATATAATGAAATTAGTCTTCTTTAAGGAGTACCTGCTCTACATTAATTCCCTTTAGTTAAAGATGCGCATGAAATATTCAGAAAAATTTTTTATCAGTCTATAAAAGGAGTTAGTGTAGAAATGAAAATGAAGCACTTGCATCTTCATTTTAAAAAACTTCACAAAGGTGCAAACAACATAATGCTTTCCAGGCTCACATGGGCAGATCAGTACTATTATGTCTAGTTTTCCTAGATGTACCATCATCTCGTGGCAGTGCTTTCTGCAAATTTGACATAGCAGCAGTTCTCTCGATGTCTATCACAGCATACAACTCTGTGCGCCTGGTAGGGGTTTGTGGAAGGGGAGTAGTAGGTGTTTTTGGAGTCTGAGGGTTGTCAGAGTCACTGCCACCTTCCAAGTCAACCTGTATGTAATTGAGCTGCCTGTGTTCTAAACTTGGGCGTCTGATATCAAAGTTAAAGACTGTTGGTGTACAGTCCCGACGCCTTGAATATTCTATTTTGTGAGCACTTGCCGGCACTGTTACATTCTCTGTATTTACATAGTTATGCATTGGATCTAGATTATTATGGTAGCCATTTAGAGATGGGGTCTTTGGTCCTAAGTTGTCATCTTCATCCCTACTTAGCTTGCGGGCTTCCCAAACTGGAGGCAAAGATGGTAAATTTTCATAGTTTAATAATGCAGTTCTTCTCTGAGCTGAGTTGTTGATATTCTGGGTATCCGAGGTACTGGTAGATGTCAGACGACCTCTCCTGACCCCTGAGGCACTAGGGATAGATAGCCCATTTATATTTTCATATACCAGTTTGTTAACAGAGGGTGCATCTCTTCGTTCATCACTGTCATAGCCAGTGTCCCATTCTGTGTTATTCGCACCACTTACACTAACTTGATCTCTTCCAAGTTGCTCCAGTTTCTCCTTTTCCATTAATTGCTTCTGAACAGGGGTTGGTCCTAAAACAAATTTGACTCCTTCAGGTTCCAGAAGAATCTGAGGGTCCCTGTCTTCAATACTACTTGGTTCTTCTTTTGGTGTGTTGCATTCAGCATTAGAAACTCTTGCCTCCAATGGGACATGCACACTTGTGCGATTTTTCCGTTCTTCTTGCACACCTGTAGTGTTGACGTAGGTATGTATCTAAAATGAAACAAAGTAAATCAGTAACTTATTTAAAAATAAATAACTAAAAACTTAAAAGTCTGACCCCATCACTTTACCAAAAGTTTTTTGGTACCGGGCATTGAACTCAGGGGCACTCTACCACTGAGCCACAGCCTTATTTTGTATTTTATTTATAGACAGGGTCTCACTGAGTTGCTTAGCGGCCTCACTTTTGCTGAGGCTAGCCTCGAACATGCCATCCTTCTGCCTCAGGCTCCCATGTTGCTGGGATTACCAGGCACACACCACTATGCCCAGCTCTCAAATCTACTCTTAAGACTTTTGCACCTTTTTTTTTTTTTTTTTTAACTAATAAAAAGGCAGAGAGCCAGGCATGGTGGCTATAAGCCCAGTGACTTGGGAGGCTGAGACCTAAGCAACTTATCAAAACCCTGTCTCAAAATAAAAAATAAAAAGAAGTGGGGATGTGGCTTCTTGGCTAAATGCCTTGGGATTCAATCCCTGGTACTATCCCCCCAAAAACAAACAAACCAGGTAGGGAGAGGGGAGAATTATAAAAATATCTAAAATATTTTCCTACTTTGGTAAATGAATAACTACTTTAACATGCAGTGTTACACTTGATGGTGAAACATGAAAAACATTCTATTAAAAAAATCAGAAATAAAATAGGGATTATCACTTTGCTGTTGTTCTACGAATTCTTATCAGTGCATTAAACATGATTCAAGAATAAGAAATAACAAGTATTGAAAAGGAAAAGATAAAATTATTACTATTTATTGATTATCTGACTATTGTATATAGAGAAAAACCCTAAAATGAAGATATAAAATAAATAACACACAGTAAGAAATCATCACTATTTAAAAAAAAAAAAAAAAAAGGAAAGAAAGGAAGAAAGAAAGAATCACTTCTTTAAAAAGCTCAATGGCATTTTGGAGAGATGATATAAAAATATTTGGAAGTCTAAAAAATTTTTTAAGATTTAAGAATGAAAGGCAACACTGGGGAAAAATATAATCAAAATAAACAATGTAAGAACTTGTTTACTATGTAAAGAACACAAAGAAATTTACTTTAAAAACACTAAAAATCTCTGATGCTGAAAAATCTTATGGTTTTACAAAAGGTGAGTTAATAAATAGATGATGGTCAACCAGATGTTTCATTCCACAAATGAAAATCAGAATAGTCAGAAACCTAGCTCCATAACAACATCAACAATATCTACCTTTCTACTAGTAGTTCAGTGATTATAAGATTAAGATATGAAAAGCAGCATAATTATTTTTTTCCCTTTAGTACTGGGGATTGAATCCAGGGGTGCTTTACCACTGAGCCACATCCCCAATCATTTTTATATATTTTTTTGAGACAGGGTCTTGCTAAGTTGCTTAGGGACTCACTAAATTGCTGAGACTGGCTTTGAACTTGCAATCCTGCTGCCTCAGCCCCTGAGCAACTGGATTACAGACATGTTCCACCATATCAGGCCACATAAATTCTTGATCCATTGGAGATTATTACAATGGAAACTGACTGTTAAGTACAAGTTTCTCAATCTACAGATACACCTTTTCTATGAACCCACAAACTACTACAATGCTATTTCCCTGATAACCTGTACATGTTTGAGATATGACAGCAAATACGTTAATTTCCTCAACTGTTGACTGTAAAAGTAGAAAAATATTCAAGAATTAGCATAACACTTTACATACAATCATCATCACTGTTATACAGGAGCACATGCTTACTTGTTCCTCAGCCACAAGCAAAGGATGTGTAGATTCTTCACCAACTGAAGGTAAGCGAGCACTTCCTACAGAAGGATGTCTGCTTGAAGGATGAGATGAAGCATCTCCAAATGAAGGATATCGGGGATATCCATTAGGTAAGTTCTGAGCAGCAAACCCTGGAGCTAAGTTTTGTTTATTGGTTTAAGAAGGCAGGGATATGGGGGTAGGGGCAGAGAGAATAAAAATGAATAAGAATCTAATCTGACTAAGGATTAAGAAAGAGGTTTCTTGTGAGACATATAGAAATTAGAGCAAAAACAACATTCCCCCACCCATATTTTAGATAAACATTTTTTAAACATATTTAAAATGCTTATAATTATAGCTAACAGTTTTTAAAAATTGATAAACATGCTTCTATAAATAAATGGTGATTTCTAGTGCTATAAAAATATTCATAATATACAGCTTATATCTGATATTTCCCATAGTCTAATATTCAAATTATGAGAGGGAAAAATGCTACTTACTTGTAGGTGTTCGAGGTGTTCTGGGTACTTCCAATTCTGTCTGATGATTATTCCTTTCTACAACTGGCTCTTCTACCACATTTATACTATTGTTTTGCATAATCTCTTGCAACATGTTAAATAATTCTTCTGCACGGGCACACTTAAAGGCAAAGATTCCTACAAATATAAGCCCAAAGGGAAAAATGGCAACCACACCTTTAAAAAAGTTATAAGAGCATCTGTCAAAAACAAAATTGTCAAGAAAACATTTCTTTTGCCAACAGCAAAAAAGGCCTTCTAAATAAATTTGATAAATTAATGATATTCCCTTTTTCAAAACATAAACCCAATAATAGAGTTCTCAGAAAAGTTTTCACTTATTTAAAAGACATGACCTAAAACAAAGCAGACAAGATGTTTACACTTACTCCACTCTGCTTTTAACAGCAGGGGGAGCTCAACTCACCATTAACAAGGTAATCCTTTACCATTTAACAAGCCCTTGTTAAGAGTTATTTCGTTATCTTGTTTATCTGTAACATAAGTATTACCATTCCCCTTTTATAAAGTTCAGGAGAGGACAAATAACTTGCCAAGACCATTTAAGTAGTAAGTAACAAAACAAAACAAACAAATAAACAAAAAAACCTGTTCCGTTCAACTCAAAGTTTAGGTTCTTTCCCCAAATAAAAACAATATAGATACTGAGTCAATTTAACAGGAAAAAAATCACTTACTGGCCTACCCCTTAAAGTTAACACAAGTCAAAATTTCTGACATAGAAAATGTGCTTAATACGTGCTTGATAAATACAAAGTTTGTTATATTTTTTCTTAACAACCCACCTATTTGGGGAATTTTCTTTTAAGAGAAAAGTAAATATTAATTTCAAAACTGTATATAAAATAACTAAAAAACAATATTTCAAATATGATAATACCTTGTCCAGTTTGACACCTTCGGCCACTTTCAAAAGAAAAGAGATTGGAGTCATAGCCATAGCGTCTCAGGCAGAGGTAGTGCCATTTTACTGAATCACGTTTGCGGGTATATAGAATCAATTCTGTGTCTGTAAGTTCCATTATGCCAGAACCTAACTCATTCCCATCATCATCCACATTAATGACCTAAAAGAAGATGACAGTCATACAAACATTTCACCAATTCATCAGGAAAATGCACTGTTGCTGATTGATTCAGTTACTTGCTTGTTGTTCATTCATCAACTAATGTGTGTGTATAGGGCAGAAATGTGTAATAGCATAATGCCTAGTTCACATCTGTTAGGAATTTACTCTCCTACTGGAGAAACAAGATACACAAACACAAAGTTGACACTACAAAACTCTGTATTATTAATTGACAAATGAATGCAACAGAGACTGTAGAAGGTAGCAACTGTCATCTGCAGTTATTGGAGAAACCTTTATATAAGAAAAGGAGGGCCTTTAGTTGGACATGGGGTAAAATTAAATTTAGACAGGAAATCAAATAAGAGGGAAAATCTGGTTGCTTAGGAGATGTAGGACACAAAATGAATATGTAATGCTAAAATAGAACAAAGAAGATACCTTTCAAAGAGACCAAAATAAGACTGGCACAGAGTTCAGGTAAAGAAATGTATTGTACTGTTGAGCATGTCCAAGACTAAGAATAACAGGTAACATTTATAGAGAAGTTATTGCCCTGGGACAAGGTAAAGTGCTTTATGTATATTTTTCTCATTTAATCCTTGTAACAACCCTAAACTAAAATGCAATTAAGACTTAGTGATAAAGTACCCTGCCCAAGATCGAAACTATAAAGTAGGAGAGGTGTGACCTAAACTAGGTTAGTGTAATCCAGAGGCTATGACTTAGAGCAGAGATTATGAGACACTTAATAGCTATGGGTGCTTTCAGCCTATATGTAACAAAATACCACAGGAATTGCAGCAAACAGGTTAATGAATGATGAAAGAAGATCAATAGGATGGCAACTATAGGATGGGTCACAGGGTGATTGGAATAAAGTACAATTAAGAAATCATCTAGGTATGCATGAAAATTATAATGGAAAGGTGGTGCTACAGTTTGGATCTTTTTCTTTATATATTTTTTTCTAATACAATTTCATATTGTCAGAATATGAATATATATATATATTTTAAGTTGGATATCTTTATTTATTTATTTTTATGTGGTGCTGAGGATTGAACCCAGGGCCTCGCACATGCTAGGCGAGTACTCTACTGCTGAGCCACAACCCCAGCCCTACAATTTAGATCTTAAGTATCCCCTAAAGACCTATGTTCTAAAGGCTTAGACCCAAGCCTGGGGCACAAGTGGAAAGCAGTGGAACCTTTTAAGAAGTAGAGCCTAGTGGGAGATCTTCTGGTTATTAAGGGTGTGCCCTTGAAGTAAATTACTGAGATCCTCCTCCTCCTCCTTCTTTTTGTTCTTTGCCATGAGGTGGGTAGTTCTGCTCCACCATGTACTCTGCCATGATGGACTGCTATCTTGTCACAATCTCAAAGCAAGGGGGCAAATAGATCATGGATTGAAACCTCCAAAATTGTGAGCCAAAATAAACCTATTCTCTATAAGTTGATTTATCTCAAGTATTTGTTATAATAACAGGTGGTGATGAAATTGAAAGGCACTTATAAAATGACATTTTAAAGAAAGTATTACCAGAACTGTATGGTTAATTGAATACAGAAGACCAAATGAAAAATAAAAAAGGATTCCTACTATGGTTAGGATGTTGCTAGTCCCCAAGGGTTCATGCATCAGAGGCTTCGTCTACCGTGTGGCGATGTTGAGGTGCTCCTTAACACTGGGGCATGCCCTCAGACGGCATTAAGGTAGTTCTTGAGGGACCTCAGTTAGTGCTCAGTGACTCTTTAGATTTCAGTCTTGGAAAGTAAATTTCTTGCATGCATTCCCAGCATTGTGATTATATCTGCCATGAGGTGGTATAGTCAAGTGGGCCAGAGCCAAGCCTCAAAAACGGTATCCCCCAAAAGCTCGTGTTTGAGACAACACAAGAAAGATCAGAGGTGAAATGATTTGGTCATGACTCTTAACCTAATCAGTACATTGTAGACAGGGTGTGGCTGCAGGAGGTGGGTTACTGGGGATGTGCCTTTAAGATATGTATTTTGTCCCTGCTCTGCAGTGTCTCTCTTTCTGCTTCCTGGAGGCCTTGTCTCGAACTGTTTCCTCCTCCACTCTTTAGCCATGATGTTATTATGCCTCATCTCAGGTCCACAACAACAAAATTGACTATCTATGAACTCAGACCTCTGAAACTCCGGGGGACAAACTTTTCCTCCTTTAAAATTTTTCTAGTCAGGTCACAGCAGTACAAAAGTTGACTAAAACAACCTAGTTTCTTTGTAATTATTTAGCCTCAGATATTTCGTCATATTAATGAAAATTGGACTAATACAATTTCATATTGTCAGTAAGAAAATGTCATCATTTATTCACATAAAAAAAGGCAGGATAGGGGGAGGGAAGCAAATGAGAGTCTAGTGATAAAAGTGAAAAGGTAAGATATATTAAGTAAAAGAAGTACATCCAAGTAGGTGGTGAGATATATAGCTCAACCGGTTTTACTGACCTTAAACTTATTCCGATGGTTATCTGGGACAGTGTCTTTATCTGGACAGCTACAACAGCTACCCATGGCTTCTTCAGAAGACCATGTGAGCACTACATGGAAAATAATTTGGAGAAAATTATTTGGTGAAGGATATAAAAACCACAAAACAGAAAAGGGCTTTAGAAATCATCTAACATAGCCAGACACAGTAGCACACGCCTATTCAGGAGGTTGAGGCAGAAGGATTGTAGGTTAATATCAGCCTGGATAACTTGGCAAAACCCTACCTCAAAATAAAAATTTTAAAAAGGACTGATGATGTAGCTCATCAGTAGAGCACCTGCTTAGTATGTATGAGGCCCTGGGTTCAATCCCCAGTGCTGGGGAAAAGAAAAAAAATCATCTAACACAAGCATGATATTTTTAATTATAATTATGAATGTATAAATTAATGAGTTTCATTGTCTCATTTCCATACAAAGTATAATATTTTCATACAGAAGAAAATTAAGCTCCAACAAGGTTTATGGCTGAAGCTAAATTTCAAATAACTAATTGGTCAATTGTGGGGTGGAGTTACCAGGGATTGAACTCAGGGCACCTGACCACTGAGCCACATCCCCAGCCTTATTTTTTATTATATTTAGAGATAGGGTTTTACTGAGTTGCTTAGCATCTTGCTTTTTGCTGAGGCTGGCTCTGAACTTGCAATCCTCCTGTCTCAGCCTCCTAAGCCACTAGGATTATAGGTGTGTGCCACTGCGCTCGGCAAGTTGGTCAACTTTGCTTAGTGACAATAAAAACAAATTTTTGTAAAGCAGATGTGACAGAAACCTCAAATTTCCAGTTTAATTTACAAAAGTCTGTCACATATTTTAAAATTACTTAAAAAACAAAGCAATTTATAATCTGATATATAATACTATTTAAACAATTAATGTACTGTTATTTAAGAGTTAATCACATAATTAATCCTTTATTATCACAACAGGGATTTCATGTCCTTTAAAAAAAAAAAAAAAAAAAACAATTGCCAAACCTTGCTAGACTTCTAGCTTGGCAGGATTGGGGTGGGGGTGGCAGTAATCGGAGATTAAACCTAGGAAAGCTTTACCACTGAACTACATCCCCAGTCCTTTTTAAATTGTGAGACAGGGTCTCACCAAATTGCTCAGGCTGATCTTGGAACTTGTGATTCACCTGCCTTAGCCTCCCGAGTTCTTGGTATTCAGCATGTCCCACAATGCCCAGCTGCCTTTGGTTCTTATTAGTCACTGTAGGCTCTCTTATACACCCTCAAGACAAAAGTTTATTAATAAGATACAATATCAATTTGGAATAGTACATTAGTAAGAGAGAAGACCATCTCAAAATTTAAGCAGTAATGTTACACAGAGAATATTGGCAGAATGGATAGGTATGTCTACATAATTGTTCTTTTCCACAGAAGATTAGCAATAAAAAGTTATATAGGCAATGCTAAGTGTTCAAGAGCATTCCAAATGAACAAACAGGAAAAATTCAAAATTAACACTTCTAATTTTGGGAAAGAACCAGAATGAATATGATAACAGTTGAAAAGGGAGAGGGAGGGGAACACGGGAGCTACAAAATATAAACATAAATCTGATTGAAACTTGTTTAAAATTCTTCAGTGCTTCTCCACCACTTTCAGGATAAAATTTTAAATCTTCAGTATAGCATAAGGTCCTTCAAAATCTGGTTAAAAGGTTCAGTTTTAACTCTTCCTGCCCTCTGTTCAAGCCCTACCCTTAGTTTAATCAGACTGAACAAGCTACAGTTTACCCAGAGAATCTTTATTCTCTCACATCATTCTATAACCACTCTCCTTCTGCTGCTTCTCTTTCTCAAGTTTCAGAAGCCAGTGCCTCTAGGAACTCTTTATGGCTCCAACCAACCTGGGCTTCCCATACCAAAGCACCTATCACACAATTCTTAGTAGAACTGTGACAGGCTGTTTATCTGTTGTTCTCTTGCCACAGTTTGCAGAGGCAGACCTCATTTGTTCTTGCATTGCTAGTGCCAACACAATGCCTAGCACACAGCAGGTGCTTCAATCCCTTTGTGAGCTGAACAGGGCTTTACTGAACAAAAGTGAAGAATGCCTGGCAGATTTAAGCACTAAGAAGATTAAAGGTATACTATCCAGTAAAGTTAGTTAAGATCCATGATGGTTGATATTTTACTCTTAACTAATATGACAACTAAGTATCATGATGCAGCCAGGCACAGTGGTGCACGCCTATAATCCCAGCATCTTGGGAGGCTGAGGGAGGAGGATCGCAAGTTTGAAGCCAGCCTCAACAACAGCAAGGCAGTAAGCAACTCAGTGAGACCCTGTTTCTAAATAAAATACAAAATAGGGCTGGGGATGTGGCTCAGTGGTTGAGCGCCCCTGAATTCAATCCCTGGTACCAAAAAAAAAAAAAAAAAGTATCATGGTGCAATGATGATTAAGTCACTGTTTGTACTTCTGAAGAGCAGTAAGTCTAAACAGAGAGAAAGAGACGTAAATAGATTATGCCCCATAATCAACCTTCTATTAGAATATGAGCAGAGTTCTGAGGGCCCACGGAAGAAATAAGGATGGGTAGAGCATAAAGACAACCTGAAGCAGATAACATTTATCATCCTAAATTTCTATTATAAAACAGAACTAAAGGCTTACAGAATGAGGGACTTATGGAGACTGGTAAGATCAGTCATCAAAGTACTACTCCCCCCAAAAGGTAGCTAGACTAAGTAGGCTGTGATGAGAGCTCAGTGAAGGATAGAGATCAAGATTATGCAGTTTGCTAGCTATGCTCTGCAGTCCAGGGTCAGAGATAAGAGAACAAAGAAATTAAAAGATGTTGGCAATACATGAGTTTGAAGTGATAGATCATCTGACTGTTAGGACAAAAAGTTGAAAGATGAGGGCTAACTAAAGAAAATGGAAAAAGAAAAAGAACACAGGCTCAGAAACTTAGCAAGACCCCGTCTCAAAATAAGAAGAACTGAGGATATAGTTTAGTGGTAAAGGACCCTACGTTTTCAAATCCCAGTACAAAAAAACAAAATCTAACAGGCTTGGTATGAGTGAGGGACTGAAACTGCTAGAATATAGGCAGTTGTCCATCTTCCAACTTCTAGAAAGAGGAACCCTCACACCCTTTTTCAAAAACTTACTTGCTAACTTACTTTATCCACTCATTATTTATTTTGCTCTTGGGGACTGAATCCAGGGGTGCTTTACTACTGAGTCACATCCTCAGCTCTCAAAAGAGATTTTTTAATGTCAAATTTATTCACTTCCCCCGACTCCTCTATTTTTTTTTAGGGGGGGGGGTAGATGGACACAATGCCTTTATTTTATTTATTTATTTTTATGTGGTGCTGAGGATCAGACCAGTGCCTCACACGTACTAAACAAATGCTCTGCCACTAAGCTACAACCACAGTGCCCCCCCTGCCAGATTCTTCTTGAACCATAAAATCCTAGGCAATGGGAAAGGCTAAATACTAACTATTCTGCATTTATGACCACCAGATTAATATTTGGAGACCACATCTGAGTTATTTGAGACTTAATAATATGCACTAATAGTATAAACATTTAATGAGAAACTATGTGGTCTCATCAGCATCACTCTTCCAAGCCAATAACTCAGCAAAAATGCAAATGCTTTTGTTATGCACCCTCAAAAAAGGAACTAGGGTATATTCAAGAACAAAGATAGCCCCTGTTTGGGAAGATCGATATTTCAATGAGTGTACCGAATATTTTAAGTTCATATATATTTTCTTGGTTTAATTAAAACCATTTTTCCTTATTCTTTGGAGATGGAAGAGTCAGCAAATAGGAGGCAAAGTGCTTGCTTTCAAGAAAACATTGGGGAGGGGGAATGGATATAGAAAACAGTAGAATGAATCGGACATCACTTTCCTATGTTCAAAAATCAATACACAACCAGTGTTAACTCCACATCGTGTACAACCACAAAAATGGGAAGTTACACTCCATGTATGTATAATATGTCAAAATATACTCTATTGTCACGTATATCTAAAAACAACAACAACAACAAATACATTAAATACTCCAATTTAAAAAGAAAAATTATTAAGTTGTGGGCTTGGGCCCTTTTTTCCTAAGGTAATTTTAACTCACCTAGATCTGGCCATTAATATTCTTAGCCTCTGCTGCTGCATCAGGAGTTTAATCATACTTCAAAATACCATGTTTTATTTGTTTGCTGACTTAACCTAGAAATAGTAGAAAAAAGTTGAGAATTTCTTATTTCTTTTAAAATATTAATTTTCCTTATGAGATTTGTGTGTGGGGGGGGGATTTACTGGAGATTGAACACAGAGGAACTTCACTACTAAGCCACATCCCCAACCCTTTTTATTTTTTATTTTGAGACAGAGTCTCACTAAGTTTGCTTAAGCCCTCACTTATTTGTTAAGGCTGGACTTAACTTTCCCCAGCTTCCCAAATCAACTGGGATTATAGGCATGCACCACTATGCCCAGCTCCTTATGAGATTTCTGATAGCAATATTAGCTCAGTTAACCTATTTAAACAAACTCAAAAGTCCAAAAACTGATCGAAAATTCTTTAATAAGATAATTTTTTAAAATTAATGATTTGTACATATTAGCATTCTTTGAAAAAAAAAATGTAAAAATGCAACAGTCCAAATTCTGTGATGTGTCTGGCTTCTCCACTATAGCTAATGACACTGGATAACTCACTTCTGCATACTTACATCCTAAGCCATAAATAAGGGTTAGATTAAACCACCTTCAAGATCCCACTCCAGCTCTAAATCCCTATATTTTAGCCAAGGGGCAGACTAATTCTCCAACTCTGTTCACACTTTTTCTAAACCTCATGTGCCATCATTTTTCCTGCAAAGGAATGACTCTTTTTAGAATCCATGCTCTGTATCTTCCTATTCCACATGACCCCCTAAAACCAGAGAAGTCATTCAGAAAACAATAATAAAAAGCATATCAGAGCTGGGGATGTGGCTCAAGCGGTAGCGCGCTCGCCTGGCATGCGTGCGGCCCAGGTTCGATCCTCAGTACCACATACAAACAAAGA